TTTAAATACTACTACTTAGGAATAATATATAAGATTAAGATATATATAGACTATAAAAATATTTAGTACTTTACTATAACTTAATAGCTAAATAGAAGATAAATATACTATACTAAATATCTATCTTAATTTAATTATAAAATTATATATTAAAAGGGATTAGAAAACAGAAGAGCTAATACTCTTAGCTAGAAATCTAAATATAAGGAAGTAGTTCTAAAGATAAATAGATAGCTACTCTTAACTAATAATAAAGGATATTTAGTATAGAAAACCCTAGGAACTATACTTAAGGAAATAGTATATACTAAAGTCCAGATAGAAACTATTTCTAGTTTAAATAAATTATAATAGGAAGTAAGAATAGTACTTATTAAAGAAATCTATAAGTATCTGCTCTTAGGATATTAAGAAGTTAAGAAAATATTTAATAGGATTAGATAATATTATAATTACTTAGATCTAAAGAAGAATATATAGACTATAATTTCAGAATATAATACTTATATAAGAATTAAGTCTATATAATATAAACCCTATAGAGAACTTAAGCTAGTTCTAGTACTAGAATAGCTATAGTAATTAGTATTCTTTAATTATATTATTAAACTATTATTATTAAAAGAACCTATAACTAAAGTAGAATATAATAATATTCTAATAGTTATTAATAGACTTATAAAGTATAGATATTTTATTCTATATAAGAAAGTAAACTCTATAGAAGATCTTATATACTAGTTTTTATAATATATAGCTAGTTACTATAGACTATCTAATAAGATTATATTAAATAGAAGAATAATATTTACCTCTAGGTTTTAATAATTACTAATAGTATAAATAGATATAAAATATAAGCTCTTAATAGCTTATTACCTATAAAGTAATAGTTAAATAGAATAATTAAATTAAACTCTAGAATAATACCTATAAGTATATATTAATTATAAATAAGATAATTAGGTATAACTATTACCTATAGTATAGATTATATATAATAGTTCAGTATAAGAATCTACCTAGCTTATATCTATATATATAAATTATAGCTATAAACTATAATTCTAGAACTAATTAGAACTTAATAGATCAGATATACCTATTACTATACTTATAAAAGAAATACTATATTTATTATATATAGAAATAAAAATAGAACTTAAATTTATTTAATAAAGAATAAAAAAATACTATAATAAAAATAGATTAGAAGAACTAATCTTAAAGAAGGGAGATAAAATCTATCTACTTTATAAAAATATTATAATAATAAAGCTAAGTAATAAATTAGACTATAAAAAACTTAGATTATTTAAAATTCTTAAGAAAAAGTTAAATACTAACTATAAACTATTACTACTAGATATAATATATATCTACCTAGTTTTTTATATTTTATTACTTAAAAAAGTATTAGAAAATACTCTAGATTAGAATTATCTAATTAAAGTCTATAAAGAAGAATTTAAACTAGAAAAAATCCTAAAGAAAAAAGTTAGAAATAGATAAATATTTTATTTAATAAAATAGAAAAACTATAATAAAAAGAATAATATATAGGAACTTACTAAGTACTTAAAGAACTATTAGTAGCTTATCTACTAGTTCTACTAGAAGAAGAAGAATTAGTAATACTACCTTAGGTAATATTACTAAAGAGATTCTCTATAGAAGAATTAAAAGAGAAATCTGAAAAATTAACTATCTTTATAGTATAAGTACTCTAGATTTAGAATACTAATTTAGCTTCCTAAGCCTGGATATACTCTAACTCTTTCTAATAATTTTTCTTCTCTATTTCTTTCTATTCTTCCTCTTCTAGTACTTCTATATTATCTAGCCCCTTCTTTAGTATCTCTATACCCTTCTTATAAAGCTACTTTTATATCTTCTATAAATAAGAAATTTATATAAATACCTCTACTAACTCTACCTTAGCTCTAGATTTCTTATCCTCTAAATATAATAGCTTCTTATTAATTTTCTTAACTAGAAGAGATTAATAATAGTATAAGAATAAAGAATAAGAAAACTTACTTAAAGATATTAAGGAATAAGTACTATTATATAAATAATCAGTATAAATATATATTATATAATAATTAAAGCTTAGAATAATAAAGTAGCTAATATCCTTTTCTATATAGTAAGTATAAGAAATAACCTTAAAACTATAAATAAGAATATACTTAAACTTTTAAGTATACTTATATACTAAATCAGATTTCTTTTATTTTAAAATATAACTAGATATTTTATTAGTAAGTAATTACTATATAAAATAAATATAGAATTAGATATATATAATAATAGTATAGTATAATAAAATAGCCTTAGGGATAAGACTAATAGGAAGGGGGTATTATATTATAAATAAAAGCCTCTAGACTATATAAAGTTATATACAGATATAGAACCTGCTAGGAAACTAGCTAATAAAGAATAATCTATTACTCTAGTAGAGTAATAAGTAAGTAATAGATAAGTAATAGCCTTACTATATATCTAAATTTATTTCTATAGCTTAAATACTTCTTTAGATAGTTATTAATAATATTATCTATATATCTATTATTACTAGCTCTATAATACTTATATATTAATAGTAACTTATATTATATAGCTTAAGATAACCTGATTATACTATTCAGAATAATACTCTAATTAGTTTAACCCTAATCTACCCTAGACCTATCTAGTATAAGTTAATCTAACTATTATACTAACTAAAATTAAAAATAAACCTAGTAATTAATTTTATAGAGTTAAATTAATCTAAAACTAATACTATACTAAAGATAATCTAATAGTATAGAATACTACCTAATAGAAGTTAATAATAAGTACTATAGTTTAGAATTAAGTATCTACTACCCTTAGAGAGATCTCTCTAATATTCTACTAGATTAGAGATATACTAAACCTAAGATAAACCTAGGAGAGAAGTATATTAAAGAGAACCTTATAAGAAAAGCTTATAAATAAATTACTAAACTAATATCTAATAGAGTAACTTAGTAGATATAATAAATTATAAAATCCCTATTTAGAGTAAAGCTAATATATAAATATATAGAACTAAGTATAGAAATAATAATCTAGAAAGCTATAAAGAATATCTAGATAATAATTATTAAAACTATCTAAGAAATAATTAAAAAGATATTTAATAATAAGAGAGAAAGTTTAGAACTAATCTGAATTTAGATTATATTTAGTATAAACCTAATATATATATATACTAATAATAAACTAAAATCTATTCTAGTTTAATATACTTATAAAATAACTATCTAAACTAAAGACTACTAAATAAATATAAAAGATAAAGATCTAAAGAATATAATTAAAGTAATTAATATATATAGGAGGACTAGTTTTAAAATAATTATAATTAGAAAACTAAGAAGTAATAATATAATTATTATATTCTATAGAGAGATTAAATAGAATATAAAGAATAAAGAATAGATAAGAATAGTATTTAGTCTAAAAATAAAGCTAAATTAGAGATAATATATAGTAGTAATAAAAGAAATTAGAATTATAATAATTATTTAGAATACTAAAATACTTTAGAAGGAAATAGATTAGATAAACTAAATTAAAATTATAAAAGTAAAGCTAATATAAAAATAAAATAAAACTATATTAAGATAGAATCTAATTCTAAATATAGCTTTATTAAAAAAAATAAATATACTATATAAACAGGGAATAATTATAGATATTAAAATTAGCTAATATAAACCCTTTTATAAAGCTATATAATTATACTAATACTATAACTATTATAAAATTAGCTATATAGTATACTATTATAATAAGTAAGTAAGATATAGTTAATATATAGCTAGAGTATATCTAACCAGAGAGCTCTACTTAGTAAAAGCTAGAGAAGATATACTAATATATATACTATATAAAGAACTATACCTAGCTTAGATATAAGCCTACTCTATACTAAGTAGGGAGAAAGAAAAGATAAGGAAAGTATATAGTAATTACCTAATAGGATTTATAATACTAAAAAGAAATAACTTAGAGCTAAGCTTTAGATATTAAGTTAAAACTATATAGTAATAGTAATAAACTCTATCTAATCTAATAGCTAAGCTAAAAAGAGAACTAGACTATCTAGTAGGAATAACTAACTAAAGACTAAAAGTTATAATTAGAATATTCTAAAAGATAAGAATTATTATTAATATAATATAAAGAGTAAATATTATTAGTATATTTAATTAAATATAAAATAGAAATATACTAAACCTAGATAACTTCCTAAGATAAATAATAACTAGATTCTAATTAAGCTTATTCTAATAATATTAGATATAATTATATAGAATATATAAAAAGTACTAAGTAATATAAAGAAAGTACTCTAGGCCCAGGCTAAATATAATATAATAGTAGTATAAGAAATAATAATATTTCTAAATAAAAATATTTTAGTATATCTAATAAGATTAGAATATATAATAATATATAGAGGAGGGAGATATATAATATATATATAAAATATATATAGATCTAAGATATAGAAAGCAGAAGTAAATAAAAACTAGTATATAATTAGAATATTAAAGTATAAGATTAAGATTTAGAATATATATAATCTACTAGATCTAATCTCTATTTAGCTTTTAATCTAGATCCTTAGTAAATTAGATCTAGATAAATATAATATATTTCTTAGGGATATAAATATTTATAATCTACTATAGGATAAATATAATTAAAAGACTATAGAGATAGATAAATTTATAATAGTAATAGAATAGATCTAACTAGATCTCTTAATACTAAGAGGAGAATATATATAGTTCTACTATAGGAAAAGAAATAGTATAATTAACTTAATATAGGCTATATATAGCTTAATAGTAAGATATATAAGCTTAGATAATATATTAATAGGATCTAACTATATAATATAAAGAGTTTAGTTTAGAACTAGATCTAAAACAGAAGAGATTAGAATAGTAGAGAATATTAGGAAGTAGAGAAGAACTAATATCTCTCTTATAGAGGCTAAAACCTATAATAGATTTAAAGGCCTACTACTAGAAGTTAAAGATATTATATAACTAGAAATACTAGTAAACTTTATTATTAACTATCTAAATTAGATTATAAATAGAGTAGTTCCTATAAGGCTTTAGATTAGATCTGGAGATAGAAAAAAATAGTAAACTCCTAGGGTTATTAAGGTATTTAAAATAATTAAAGTAGTCTAAAGGAAATATATAGTAGACTCTAGCTAGTAATAGTAGAAAGATCTAAAAGAGATAGAGAAATTAGAAGAGAGAACTATATTAGAATTAGACTAAGAGTAATAGTAAACTATACTAGGAGAAATAAGTTAGAATAATAAAAAGCTCTAGATTCTAAAGAGATAGATTAAACTAAGAAGCTAGAAACTATATAAGGTTCTAAAGATACTAGATATAATAGGAGAAGGGAGGAAATTAATATAAATCTATAGAAGAAAAGTATAAAAATTAGTAGGAATCTTTTTTCTAAAAGGATTATATAAGTAAGAATTACTCCCTAGATTAAAACAGAAGAAAGAAAATCTAATATTAATATAAATAATAGTTATCTCTAAAGAGATTAAAAATATACTTAAGTATATATTACTATAGAAAGTACTAGAAGAGAATAGAATACTAATAGGCTTTCTAAAAGTATATAGAAAACTATTTTACTAAATATTTATATATCTAGCTACTAAGAGCTTTAAACTAGGCTATTTTCTAATATAGTTCTAAACTATTCTTATAATAGTACTAAGAAAATCTGGAAAAATACTAATAAAAAGAAAGATCTTAAAAGAATAATAGCTAATATTATTACTAAGTATAATAAATAAAGTAATAGAAAAAGTACTAGGAGATTATATTATAACTATAGTAGAAATATATAAACTTCTCTCTAATAACTAGATAGGAAATAGATATAATAAATTAATAGAAATAGCTCTAAAAATATATATAGAAACTATCCGAATAGTATAGAGATTTAAAGAATTAATTATACTACTACTTCTAGATATAAGCAGTATATTTAATATAGTACTATATAGAAAGCTACTTAAGATAGCTAGAGTAAAAAGATATTCTAAGAATATCTATAGATAGATTAAGATATTTCTAGAGGGAAGAATAGTATAACTCTAATTTAATAGTAAGATAATAATAGTAATACTAGTTTAAATAGATATACTATAGGGGTTCTTACTATTATTAATCCTCTTTATACTATATATAAGTACTTTATATAAAATCCTTAAAGAAGTTCCTAATATACTAGTAGTAGGGTTTACTAATAATATAAATATATTAAGCTTTAGATCTAATATAGAGATAGTAAAGAAGGAACTTCTTAGAGTATAAAAGAAATATAAAAAATAGTTAAGAGCTATTAAATTAATCTTTAATCTAATAAAAAGTAAGCTTATATACTTTATAAAGAAAAAGAAAAAGATAAAGAACTAAATATAAACTAAAGATATATAGATAAAACTATATAAAATAATTAAATTCCTTAGTATATAGCTAGATAGAAAACTCTAATAGAAAATATATATAATAAAGCTCTAGAAAAAACTTAAAAGATAGATATTAGCTCTAATTAGAATTATATTATTTATATATAGATATTTATATAGATAAGTAAAAGTAGTTTATAAAGTTATTATAAGATCTATAATAATATATAGAGTATCTATTTTCTATAAACCTATAGAGAAAAAGAGTAAACTATAGGGATCTATATAGAGTTTAGCTAAATAGTAGTTAAAGTATCTCTAGATTATAACTAGAGTATATAGAGCTATACTACTAAGAATAATTAAAATAAAAGTACTAATACTATCTCTAGATCTCTATATAAATAAAAAAATAATAGAAATAGAAAAAAGATTTAAGGCTAGAAGGATTATAAATATAAGCTAGATTATAATTAGTATAGTAATTAAATTAATAATAAATTAGTAGAAATAAAAACTTTAAAAAGTAAAGCTATTAAGAATAAGCTAGTATTAAAGATAAGGAAAAAACTTTAATCTAAAAGCTAAATAGAGAGTTAGATAGGAAATTAAAGTAAATATAATATAGAGAAGATCTAGATAAATATAAGTAGTAGATATAATAATCAGATTTAATAGAGGGGTACTTAAGAGATATAATCTTCTATAAAAATATAAAAGCTCTCTTTTAATATAAATAAGAATAGGGAGAATAAGCTTAGTTTTTTTTCTCTTTATAAGAGAAATCCTTAAGGTAAATATATTTATATACTAATATAGAGAAAGAAAGGAGAATATATATTATATTATCTTATAATATTCTAGATTTAAAATCTAATAAGCTAAGCTAAGTACTAAAAAACTAATATAAACTTAATATAATCTTAATATTATAATAGACTAAAAATAAAGTATATAAAAAATTATAAAATAGATTTTAGATTTTAGAATATTAAAATAATATAAACTTACTAAGAAGCTGGATATACTAGGAGGAATATATAGAGACCCTGAATAGGATCTAATCTATATATAAATAGGAAATATATTAGATAATATCTAGATCTAGCTAATATAAATAATAATAGAACTATTATATATAGTTAAATAAGTATAAAAGAGAATAAAAGTAGTAAAGAAAAATAGAATATTAGTATTAAGTATATAAATTAAAAACTTTAAACTATAAAACTAATTAGAGCTTAAGATAGATTTAAAATAGAAATTAATCTAAAGCTCTTTAGATATATTAGTATTATAGCTAGTAGTAGCTCTATTAGGAATATATTTCTTAAATCTATTAGAACTATTATTCTTAATCTTACTCTTACTAAATACTCTATTAGAAGAAGATATCTCTATAAGAATATTAAGAATAGATTAAACTAATTCTAATATAGCTATAGCTATAAGAACTAGGAGTTTATATAAGAGCTAGTTCTAATTAAGGATATTTTAATTAAGTATATCTAACTAAATACTAAGAGTAGTTATCTATTAGTAATTCTTCTTATTCTTAGTCTCTAAGATAGTAATAGTAGTTTTATTATTATATAGAGCTTAGAATAAAATTAGAGTAGAACTAATATAGCTACTAAGAATAATAGTATTAGTATAATCCTAAGTATTACTAGAGATAAGAATATAGATAGACTTATTAGGCTAATAAGCTATAATCTCTAAAATAAATATATCCTACTAAACTTACTATAATCTAGATTAGAATAGAAACTAATATAAAAGAATACTAAATAAGAATATAAAATATATATTAAATTCCTTAGTATTAGAAGTAATATTAATAATATAAATCTATAAGTAAGTTATATACTTAGTAGAGGGATAATTAATAGAATACTATATAGATTAGAATTAAAAAAGATTAGAACTAGATATAAATTTATCTTTAAGTAGAGGATCTTAAGATTATAATATTTATAGTAGAACTTAAACTAGAGATCTATTATAGAATTAGTATAGAACTAATCTAAAAGTAGATAGAAAACTTATTAAACTAGAGAGTATAATAGATAGTATATCTATTAATAGCTATACTACTAATATACTACTAATAACTAGTTCTAGAATAGTAAGAACTAAAAAAAACTAGAGATTAGACTAGAGATAAAATAGAGGAGGAGGGAATAGACTAGATCTATATAGTAGTAAAGAATAGAGAGTAAAATAGGATAGAAGAAGAGTAGAAATAATATAAAGTAGAATTTACTCTGAATCTTATTTATATTAAAGTTAATATAGAGAAAGAGAGGGATTTATTTAATTATCTAGTTATATAAAAAAGAAAGAGAAAAAAAGAGAAAAAGAAATTAGAAGGAAGAAAAGTATTTATAGATATAGAAGAGGGTATAAATAATCTAAGTAATCTAAGAACCTATAAGGAAAATATATTAAATATTAAAAAGTTATATAAATAATAATAAATATATAAGGAATCTATATTATAATTAATCTAAACTAGTATAATAACTATATCTTTCTAATCTATAATTAAAAAAGTTAAATAGAGAAGAATATAAAGCTAAGAAACTAAGCTAGAGCTATACTAACTATATATAGGAAATAGATTAGATAAACTAAAAAATAAAAATAATAAAGAAATCCTATTTAGATAACTTCTAAAAAGGAAATTAAAGCTAGAAAGTAGGAAATAAAACTAACTAATTAGATAATAGGAAAAATACCTTCTAAATTAATTATTTAAAGCTAGTTATAAAAAGTTAATCCTAAAATAGAGCTAAATTATATTCTATATAGATATAAGTTAAAGACTACTCTATCTATACTAACTAGTAGATAAGAGCTAAAATAGAAATATAGTAGATAAATAAAGGAAAGTAGGAAACTAGGAGCTATATTAATCTCTAGATAAAGCTATAGAGGAAATAAGTAGAATAAGGTTTTTATTCTATATATAAGGTTTTCCCTTATTAGAGATTAGATAGAGGGACTAGAGATTAACTAGACCTAGTACCTAGGGTAAATAATAATTAATTTATTATATCTATTTTTAATCTCTTTAGAAATAATTATTATTTATATTAATATTAAATCTTATTTCTTCTATTTTAGTTTAGAAAGTAGTTCTTATTTATATAATTCTTTTAAAAAAAAGATTTTTATTAATTTTTATAATTTTTTTTTATAACTTTATATTAGTTTCTTTTTTTCTCTTATTATATCTAGTATCTTTAGAATCTTATATAATTTCTAGCTTTTTAATCTAATCTATCTCTTTTAGATCTTCTTACTATTATTAATTAGAATCTACTATATATTTTCTTTAGATTATCTTAGTTATTTTAAATATTTTAATAATCTTAGAAATTTATTATTTTTTTTCTATCTTTAGATTTAATCTAAGATTTTATTAGAATTATTCTATTTATAATCTAATTTAGATAATTAATAATAAAATCTACTAGTATTTCTAGTTATATAATATCTTTAACTTTTAGTAATAGATCTCTAAATCTATTATAAATTTTAATCTCTATAAAAAGAATATTAATTCTTTTTTACTTTCTAATATTCTCTATTATTTTAATCTCTTTTATTTTAAATTTAATTCTAAACTAAATTCTTTATACTATATAGTTAGATTCTATTAGTATATTATCTAAGCTTATATATCTTATTATTAAACTATATATAATTTATATTAAGTTAATTATACTATTTCTCTTTCTATAGTAGAATTATATATATTCTTCTTTTAGTATTAGAAAATCTAATTAGATTTATTCTATTATTATTATAAATTTATCTATTTCTATAGTTTTTTAATTATATTTATTCTATAATAAGTTATAAATATTTATATTCCTAAGAAATATATTATATTTATCTAGATCTAGTTTACTAAAAGTCTAGATTAAAAATTAAATAGAAACTAGATCTAGTAGATTATATATATTCTAAATCTTAATTTTATATTTTAATATTCTAATTATATATTAGTTTTTATTTATTTCTATTTTCTATATTTTAGATTTATATATATTTTATATATATATTTTATATCTTCTTTCTCTATATATTATTATATATTTTAATTTTACTAGATATATTAAAGTATTTTTATTTAGAAGTATTATTATCTTTTATATTACTATTATATTATATTTAGTCTAGATCTAGAGTATTTTCTTTATATTATTTAGTATTTTTTATATATTCTATATAACTATATTTAATATTATTAAAATAAACTTAATTAAAATCTAATTATTACTTATCTTAGGAAATTATCTAGATTTAATATATTTCTATTTTATATTTAGTTAAATATACTAATAATACTTTTTTTTTTTTAAGGGTTTTTACTATATATAAGAGATATTCTAAGATTTAGACTATATATAACTAGCTCTATATAATTTATTTTTAACTAAGTTTTAATCTATATCTAATCTTTAATTCTATTTTTTTTACTTTTTTATTTATATAAGCTAAAATAAGATAATAGTATCTCTAAAAACTCTAAAAAGAGCTTACTAAATATATAACTTAGCTATAAGTTCTAAGGGGAAATACTTATTATTTATAATTAATTATAATATCTCTCTAAGCTTATTATTACTATTACTAACTATCTCTCCTTATAATAATAATAGATACTTTTAATATTATTATCCCCTATAGCTAGGATCTAGTTATTATAAATAACCAGATCCTTATATATATAATAGTTATTATTAATAAAAACTATTAGAATCTCTTTTTAAATATTAATTATTTAAATCTATAATCTATTATAGATTTACTTATAGTAATAAAGTTACTCTCTCTTATATAAACCTAGTAGTTATATCTACTAGAACTATTATTCTATCTTCTTATAGCTAGTAATAATATAGAGATAGATCTAATTATTAATATACTTATAAAGAATTATAATAATATTCCTCTAGTATTTAATTACTATTATAATCTAAGTTATTATATATAGTTCTAGTAGGTAATATACTAAATTAAGTTAATCCGAACTAAGATAGCTCTTTAAGTTTAATATCTATTTTAATTAGTAATATTAGGTAGAAGAGAATTAAATTAAATTAAATTAAATTATTAAAAAGTTTATTAAATAGAAAAGTTAAATTAAATAAGATTAATATAATAGTATTTAGAATATAGTAGATTAATTAATCTAATACCCCTATAGATTATTTAAAGAAAATTATAATAGCTAATTATAAAGTTATTATATACTAATAAAGACTAAATATAGTTTATATAGTAACTAATAATACTTATTTTTTATATTATATTAATAATAGTTTTTATCTTTTAAAATATTTTAATTATAACTTTTAGTTTTTAATTAGTTATTTCTATTAAATAGTTTAATTCTCTTTTTAGTTTAGTTATTAGATTAAATAGAGTTTATTACTATTATTATATAGTTTTAATTTAATATCTAGAGTTTAGCTCTAAATTATTTCTTTTTAATATTATAAATCCTATTAGATAATTACTATATACTTTTTTATCTTCTCTTTTTTTCTATTTAGTATAAAATAAGCTTATATTTAAGCTAGATATAGTTCTTTATATAATATATATATTAGTATATTTTTTCTAATCTTTACTAAATAGAGCTCTTTAGTTAAATATACTCTAGCTATATATTAGCTATATCTTACTTACTTATTATAATAATATATTATATAGCTAATTTTATAATAGTTATAATATTAGTATAATTATATAGCTTTATAAAAGGGTTTATATTAACTAATTTTAATATTTATAATTATTCTCTATTTATATAATATATTTATTTCTTCTAATAAGATTATATTTAGAATTAGATTTTATTTTAGTATAGTTTTATTTTATTTCTATATTAGCTTTTTATTTTTAATTTTAATTAGCTCCCTATAGCTATATCTGGTTTTTAAGTAAAATTTTTTTTTTTTTTTAATTTCTTTATCTAAATATAAAATATTATAGATAATTAATAAAAAGTAAGAATTAGAATTAGATAGAACTAATATAACTTTATTTAAAACCCTAGTTATATATAGTAAATTAAAATAAGCTATTAAAATACTATTAAAGAAAATATTTACTAAGGTAATTCTAAAGAAGTTAATTATAAAGCTAAAGATCTTTTTTAAGTATAAACTAAAGAATAATCTAGAGAGATCTATAAGCTAATAAGCTAAGTAATATAATTTAGAAATATAAAAAGAGAACTAAAGAAAAGTAATATCTATTATAATAAAGAAAAAAGTATAAAATAGATTAAGTATAAAGATAACTAAGAAAATAATAAATATAAATATATAATTAGTAAAAAGAAATTAGAATAATAAAACTTTTCTTTATAGAATAATATATACTAGCTAAATAGTAATTAATTAATCTTTTATTAGAATTTCTTTTATTTATTAAAGTAAGCTGAATATAGCTAGATTACTAAAGATAATAGTATTTTTTTCTTTATCTAGAGTACTTATTATACTATATATAGGAGCTATATAGAGCTCCCTATAAAAAAACTATAAATAGCTAGTAGATAGAAAGAATTTAAATCTTAAGAATTATATTATTTTATATATAAATAAAGATATTATAAATCTAGACTTTAATTATAAGCTATCTAACTATAGCTACTATATAGTTAATAACTAAGAACCTATTTATAATACTCTAATTAGTTATAGCTAGTTCTAAGTATAATATAATTAAATAGTTAAATTAGAACTTTTATAGTTTAATTAATATATTTTAAATTATTTATACTAATCTTTAGTATTTTTATATTAAACTAAATAATTTTATTTCTTATAAAAGAAAGTATTAAAATTACTTTATTTAGTATAATATATATTAAAGATTATAAATATATTAATATTAATACTCTAGCTAAAGAGCTAGTAGTACTTACTAGATTATTTAGTATCTAAAAAGCTTTAAGCTTAGTATATTAAAGTACTTAGATTAGTATTATATAGATTAGTATATAAGTATAAAGCTAGATAAAAGAGATAGCTTTAGTAGTTATTTAATAAGCTGCTATTCTAATAGTAAATAAGTTATCTATATAAAGGTTTATAGAATTTTCCTATTATATAACTTTATCTTAAGCAGACTAGGAAAGACTATATTTTTAAGCTTTTATATTTATTATATTAAGTTATCAGGCCCTGGCAGCTTTATTATTATTAAACTCTATTCTCTTTCTCTTCTGTGAATATACAACCAAGACTTGCGATAAAGATGGACTCGTAGATTGGGAACTGATAAATCTTTTCCGGGAAAAGGGTCAGGGGTCGGTATGTTTTGGCAAACCCATATCCATGAGTGATGCGGATAGCCAAGTTCTCAATGATAAAATCCAGTACGAACTCGATGCACCAGACAATCATGAGAATACCGGCGTTGCTCAGTTGTGGAAATCGAACTCTGAGTGGCATTGCCATCTTGGAACCCACTATTCCAAAGCCAGCACAAAAGTATACGTACATGGGAGGTCCCCAAAGAAGGCTCTCGGCATATCTGCTAGATGATGCATGGTTGTGAAAGGGCAAGAACTTGGCCCAGACCCCAATATTAATGCTATAGGAATTCCACATGAAGATGTACTGATAGCAGTTCAGGAATCCGTCGGCGCAGAGAGCTACCAAGCCGCCAATAATGTGCCGGCCGTCGAGAGTAAATTCTGGCCCTTTATCCGTTGTCTTGAATTGCTTCAAGTACGGGAAAGCCGGCACAAGGATGCAGAACCAGATATGAACAAGAAGGACACCGACGCTGAGCGCCTCAAAGATTCTCAAGCATACAAGGCGCCAGGTTTCAATTTCATCCGGCTCCAAGACAGGAGCTGGTCGGAACTCGGTTGGAGAAGAGATCCAACGTATGAGAGCTTATATCCACATGATAGTGAAAGCAAGGCCAAAGGTGGCCATCGCTGAAGCTGTTCCATCGCGTGGCTTTTCTGTCGCTTTCCTCCTATCGCCATTGTTGATCAGCGGACTACTCTCGTCCACTTCATTGTCGTCATATCTAGATCCATTGCGATGGTGAGGAAGAATAGTGTTCATAATATCAGGGCAAGCGCATTCAAGGTTTGTATGATTGTTATTGTAATGAGTTACAATGCCACGCTCATAGGTTTATTATCAATATATTCGCTTTCATTTTAGGGAAAAGGACACATTATACACCTTCAGGGCAGGATTCCATTCAATCAATGCTATTCCACGGAACCGGTAGAGTGTCTCCCGCCAGTTCCGGCCACGTAGGTAACTCAGCCTGGATGCGTCAAAATCAGTCTTGCCAGAAAGTTGCCAATCATGTGAGTTCAATTCGACAAATTTTCATCAGACGACGACCAGATCATCAGTGACTTTACAGATCATTCCCACATTCAGCGTCCTTCATATTGGTATAGATACATCACCCTTGCACTACTTCGTATCCCAATTCAGCAGGTCGGCCCCGAGATTTGTGAGGGGTTGTCGAGGACAATCCCGACTTCATTTCCCAAACTCCGGCCAATCTTTACCCTGGAAATATGGAGGTAATACTACCCTTTGACCCGACTGACCTTGGTTTCAATTGAGAAGACTCCGTCCTCGATGACAAATCTAGCACTGCCCACAAACAGACTCATTCCCAGTTCCTTCAGGGACTCCGATCCGGTCTCAAAAGTAACGTGGGACAGTGCCTTGCCAAAGGATGTCGATTTGGCTTTTGGATCTCCGGTCAGAATGGCGACCAATGCCTCGTCCACCTCAACCAGCCCCGTGTACTTGTAGCTCAGCAGGGCACCATCATTATTTCTATCAGGCAAACAGATTAATGGCACGAAGCGTGCCTGAAAGATCTCCATTGATACTTGCCTCAGAATCGCACTCACATCTATGTGCGTGTGAGTTTGTGTTGGCGCGGTACGTGCCATATCCGACCCCATGACTACCTCAGCGTCAAGCGGGATTTCAAATCCGGGCTCGCTAGTGACTTTACCAGATGTAACTGGCTTTGATCGAGGTGACAAGTTTAGTTTAACAGTGATGCATTTCCACACATTCAGCAGGAGCTTACAAAAGCGCTTAGCATTTCACCGTTGAGGATGCCTCCTGGTCTAATTGTTAGCAGGGTGCTTATAAAAGCAACAGATAAGTTATCTGTGATCACCTATGTTATAATCTTTCCCAGGGTATAGACGCACTGTGAATGCTGGCTCGAGAGATGGGAACTGATCAGTAGCCATGATAATAGTGGTAAAAAGTAAATTGCAAACGACCGTATTGAATAGGAAAAGCAAGCTGCGTTAGAATTTGTGCAAACCAGAGTATATTACGGAAGCGAGCAAATGTTAAATTCACGTGTTATGTACATTGAGCGAGAAGCAATATATCTTACCATCCTCCGGCCCGAGATTGCCATAGTTGAGAAGCCTTCATTCACGCTCCGGGGCATCCGGCGGAGGATAAACATCTCGGCACTTAAAGAATATTGGGTCATGAGACTAAAGGAAAAATACATGCCAGTTCCAAAATAAGCATCCATTTTTAGTTTCTTTCTAATCTAAAGCCGGGAGATGTTCAATTTCTGCTGCTGTTGAGCATCCGCCTGCTCGATCTGGACGAACTGCTTGTAAAATCCTAAGCACTCTGGATTGGCAACCGTAGAGCTTACTTGAGGTTTCTGGCCGCTAATGATCTTCTTAACAAGGATCTCTATTTTCTTCCCGTTGATTGTATGCGGTATGTCCGGAACTTCAAAGATGTAGCGTGGCACATGTCTTGGGCTGAGCTTGGATCGCACAGCCTCACGAAGCCTGTTTACCACAGTACTGGTGAACTTGTATGCAGGATACATCTGCACAAAGAGGACGACGGTCTCGTCGCTATCATGCTGGCGTCTTTGCCCCACGCAGAGACTATCCAAAATTTCCATGTCACCGTCGATAACGTTGTATATTTCCGCGGATCCAAAACGAACACCTGCTGGATTCAACACGCCATCCGACCTTCCATGGGTCAAATAGCCGCCCGTAAATGGGTTTCTGGATACAAAGTCCCCTTGTGCCCATATCTGCTCACCGAATCTAGAAAAGTAAGCATTATTGTACTTCTCTCCGATATTGTCTCCCCAAAAGGAAACCGGCTGGCTGGGAAAAGGACGTGTACACACGAGCTCTCCCGGGTTGTCTGACGTTCTAATCGAGACTCCAGCTTCTTTATCGACATCGAATATATCAACTGCCATTCCAAGAGCTGCTGCTTGAATCTCTCCGGCATGGAGCGGCTGTGTTGCTGCCCCAGAGATCAAAGAGCAAGCCAAGTCGGTGCCTCCACATGTTGAAACGAGATGGATGTTTTGAGGAAAGCCTTCCTTATAGAACCACCTCGCAACTTTTGCGGTAAGGGTGCTACCGGTTGAAGTAACTGTTCGAAGGCTAGAAAGGTCGATCAAATCCCTTGTTTTTACCCCGCTATCCATGAGCATGGATAGAAACTTGGCCGATGTGCCAAGTACGTTAATTCTGAGTCGCTCGACCAGCCGCAGTAAAACAAGAGAGTCGGGAATAAATGGTGAGCCGTCGTAGACAACAACACGGCTACTAAATGATAAGGAGACCAGAACCATCGCCCACATGATCCAGCCCGTTGTTGTATACTGCAGAAAAGTGTCTCCTTTACGGACGTCGTAGCTGAAGAAGGAATCTTTCCTGACTTGTAGCAATAAACCTCCAGCTGAATGAACAATGCACTTTGGAGGACCACTGGTACCTGATGAGTACACAATAAATGCCGGGTGATCGAAAGGCAGTTGCTTAAATGTCAACGGCCGTCCGTTGTCTTGGTCCAAGAACTGATCCCAAGTGGTCATCTTGTGATATTCTTCCGTGGAGATCTCCCTTTGCCCCAATATAACAACCACCTTTGTGAGCTGAGCGTCTTTGCTCAACACTTTGGTCCACTGGCAGTGGTTAGGCAGCAGGTCTCGTATTTTCGCGTTGTAAGTGACTTCGCTCTCGCAAAATACGAGCTTGGGCCGGATCTGAGTCAACCGGCTCAAGACCCCGTCCACGCCCATATCCGGTGACGAGCTTGACCATATAGCCCCGATAGATAGCGCTGCCAAGCATATCACGATAGTCTCCAGTCGGTTGGAGATTACAGCCGCGATGCGATCTCCCTCCTCTACGCCAGAAGCAACCATAGCTCCGGCCACCTTTGCAACATCATCACGCAGTTCACGCCACGTGACGTTTCGAATATGATCTGCGCCTTCTGAAACGATATGCATGGCTATTTCCTCCGCCTGATAATTGGAGAAAATATTTTCTGCGAAATTCATCTTCGCCCCCGGAAAGAATTTGACAGGAGGATACATCACATCTGACCCGTTCGGCTAGGGAACTCTGTTAGCCATGTTATGATCCCAAAATGGAGTGACTGAGATGGCACTGCTCTCACGTGAGGTTGCATCGCGGCATGCGGTCCTTCGCCTGTTTTAATTTCGAGATACTCAAATACTTCCATCCAGAAGGCGGGAGCTGTGGCTGTGTTCGTGGACCACGCCCACAGTGATTCATAGTCCGTGACAGCAGCTCCATGTCTTTCGTTCGCTATCCGTATCATATTTTTGATATGGAAACCAGATGATGGCAACGGCTTCCATAGCACATCAGATGGATGCTCTGCATCAGAGTTCATGGTCATTAACGATAGACTCTTAGGGTTGTCGCGATGACTGTAATTGGCAGATTGGTACGTATTTGCTGCGAGCAGAGTCCTCGAATTCTTATTTCCCCGCATCGGCGTGTCATTATTCATCAAGCAGGTGCGTGCTCCACGTCAGGGCCGTTGATCTTCAAGGTTGTATTTCCCTCGGCTAATCGGGATGAGTTAGAATCCGGAACGAGCTGTCATCCTTCCGGGCCGAGGGTCTTTGTATTGCAACTTTGCTCAGCAGACCCAGGCCAAGCGTTGTATTGTTTGTTTCATTACCTAAGCCCATCGCAGTGAAGACGAACTCAGCTTTCGCAAAAGGCTAGTATAGGATTCCCCCGTACCAACATCCCTCCATCTACAGGTGATAACTTCTGATAGCCTGCGGTATTGACGAAATGGTTCCGTCGTCAGCAAACTTGGCACCACAAAGCTGCGTCATACCCCTGCCCGCGACTTCAGAATCCTGTTTATATTAATATTAGGTCGTAACTGAACATTAATGTTTTCTTGTGGAAGATTATAGCTGAGCCTGTGGCCGCTTGCGCATTTGCTGCGCTGAACAAAATTTCGTCACTGTAAAGGCTAAGGGTGGATGTTTGGCATCACAAATGCTAGGATTCCCAGTGACTACAAGTTGGTGGTTCCCTGTTATGTCAACTTGGTGAGTCTGGTTTAGATACCATGCCTAACCGAGCCAAACTCTACCTGCTTGCATGTGATACATGTTGAGACACAACAGTTTCTTTCCGGATGGTACCTGGGGTGTGACTTTGACACAACGGTGACCGAGTCCAAGTATCTTCCATTCTCAATATGCGCAAGTACGGTCGCAGAGAGGGCAATATTGCAATGACTAGAGCAGAATGAGAATCGGCGATAAATAAAGCTTCTGTCATCTGTTAGAAACTCCAATAGGAGACAGGTACGAGAAACAATGGTAAATACTCACCAGCGGTAGCAAGGTCTTCGTCTGGTCCAATTGTTGTCTGATTGATGAGCCATCTAGTGAAGGTAATACCGATGTTGAGAATACCAAGACCGAAAGTGATGCTCGTGCTGATCTTCTGGGCCTTAGACATGCACAGCTGGCTGATCAAAACAAGGGGGAAGACAAAAACTATATGTTTGAATTAGCGACGAAACCAATTTGACGTTCAGTTATACATACTCCAGACATCATTAGCAAAATGTAGCGCAAATGCTATATTGTCCTGCCGATTCAGGCATGACGACGAGCAAAGATTACTCACGGTCCTGAACGGAGATTAGTTCAGTGAGATCAAAAAACACAAGCATGGGTATATTCACCAATGGCAGCCCCAACTACATAAGAGGAGGTTTACGCAGACTGTGACGATGAATGCGGAAATCGTGAAACATGATAGAACATGAAGTGATGTCCGAATTCTGCCGCTCTGCTGAGCGAATACATGGTAGTAGAGCGTAATCAATATTCCCTTGTTGAGATATTGCGCTAGATACCACGGGAAGACTGAAGCGTAGAAGATCTTCCACATAATTAGCATGTTACCTGCAGAAAACCAATCCTATAGGCATACCTTGAGCACTGTAAGCTCGTAATTTTCTGATATTACCCAGCCAGCTATGTAGTAGTCGATACTTTCAGACCAAACACCCCGAACGTATAGATATGTATCGGTGCATGTCAACAATGTATTGCATACTAAAGTGGCGAAGATGAACCAGTCACTAATCACCAACCCAATTCCGATGTAATTGAACCTCAAATGGAGACGCGCAACGACAAGAACAATGGTAACAGCAATCATCGTCCACTCGAAGGCCTGGGTCTTGGTTAGCTCGAGGCAAATAAAAGAAACTCTAACTAGATCCCTCAATCATACTTACCAAGAGCCCCTCTCCTGACAACCCCATCTTGACCGAGTAGTCAAGGTCTCGAAGTGGACGTGCAGGATATGAAAACGAAAATGGCAAACTCAGTTGTCGTTTGGGGTTGCTCTTGTTTAAATTTCACCACGTCTCATAATGCACTCGTCAACCATTCCAATTACAGTAAACTATCTTATTTTGGTTCGCCTATGATTGTACGATCAGACATTTGATGCTCTCAGTGTCTCTGAAGCTGGAATGCTGACTTTCAGTTGGGTCAAGCTAATCCAGTTCTGTCTCGCCCAATCGCTCTGGAATGTGCATACACTCGCAAACTTTGTTAACTGGCCCAGATAATGCAAAATTTAAAACATCCAAGCCCGAAGGATAAGATCAATGATAAGGCAGGTAATAAGTCACCCAATACACCTTAAATGGACCAGCCTGGGGTAGATCGAGCAGCGATGGGAAACAAAGTCTTTCCAAACTCAACTCAACGGTTCCAATAATTACCTATAGTTATGATGTGTGCGTGATCTTCTAATTCTTAACACACTATGGTTTTGTCTCGAGGTTGAAATTTGTGTCCTCCATGGGTTAGGGTTGATGAATTACGGGCATGTCCAAGGTTCAAAACAGCAGATTACATCCCATGAAATCAATGGAGACTCCTTGGCTTCTTTGAAATATGTTTAGTATTCCCATGCCACTGTATTCTTCCTCTTGCGGGTAGATAGTTTTGACGGTTCACTCAAAGACTGTATAATTACGCGCATATTCGGTGATTCTTGTCTTTAAGACAGAGTATCAAACTTCAGTCGCAATCTAGCCTGCCAGAATCTGCCAAGAAAATTACCGGGATTTGAATCGTCGTGTTAGATAAAACGAACCACGAACATGAGCACTGAATTGCGAGGGATAAATGCCACCACGAACAAGCCAAATCCACTGGGTCGGTCCATTAAACACGGATATTATCTACAAAGCTCCATGAGATTCTGCCTGAATCCAAACCCTGTCGACCCGCTCACCCCTCTTTGATAAACAACACTTATGCCAGTAACGTTACTCAAGCATCATATCAATGACCTAAAGCACCTGCTTGTTTTCTTGGCGCGCCTATCATGTTCTGTTGTACAGGTTCGTTATTGATAAGGTGACCCATATCAGTGAATCAATTTGGCAATCACCGCCATTATACAACAGTCCCAGGTGTGTAGTTCCAGGAGAGTTGGAGTTACATAGATAGTGGGGTTTCTTCATCGGGTGACGATCATTTTATTGAAAAGCGCCGCATGTTATCCATCTTCTGTGCACCTTTTCTTACAGCGCAAATGACTAACTGTTGCCGCCATGGTTCTGAATCTGTTCACATTAGCTTTGGCAGCCGCCACATCCGCGGCAGTGCTCCCTGGACTACCAACTGTTCCTTTTGAGTTGGACGCCGATGGGAAGTCATGGGAGTTGTCGGGCCTCAGATCAGTAGTGGTGGACAGTTCATATGCGGATGCGAGGAATGAAAAGGGAATGACCCTCATTCCCCCTAATCTAAGCGGCTTTGCCAATACCTTCGCAGAAGATTTGAAGGACGCCCTCGGTCATGAAGTCACTGTTGAACTCGGAACTACCGGGGGCTCTGATAAGTTGTTTCTAACTTTAGGCGACGAGTCTGAATATCTTGACGTGGCTGGACGCGAAACTTCAGAAGGCTACACTCTTGATGTGGGAGCAGATGGCGTTGTCATCACCGGTGCCAGTCCCCTTGGAGTTTGGTGGGGGACGCGCACATTTATCCAACAGGTACTACTTGGAGAGGGCAAAATTCCCTTCGGCTCAGGCAAAGATAGCCCAGGATGGGGTGAGCGCGGTGTCATGGTAAGTTCGGTGCGTCCGATGGAAAAGTAAGGCCAGTTGCTGAAACGAGTTGGCATCACAACAGCTTGACGTGGGACGTCATTATTATCCACCCGATTTTATCATCGAGCTGTGCTCTTACATGTCATTCTTCAAGCAGAATGTCTTTCACATTCATCTCAGCGACAATCTTTATAACAATGTCAAAATATATGGGTACGAGCGACAGATGAGTCTATACTCTGCTTTCCGACTCCTTTCAGATGACCCCGCCGTTGAAGGTCTTGCGAAACGCCAAAATGAATCTTATACAAGAGAAGTCTGGGATGATATCCAGAGTAAATGCGTCTCTAGGGGTGTCACACTGCTGCCGGAGATCGAAAGTCCGGGCCATTCCCTTCCGATCTCCCAATGGAAGCCAGAAATAGGAATGAGCTCCGATTACAGTCTGCTGAATATCTCTCATCCTGACACCATCCCAACCGTGAAGACAATCTGGAAGACGTTCCTGCCTTGGTTCCAGAGCAAGATGGTACACATTGGCGCTGATGAGTACAGGGATGAATCTCTAGATGATCTGTAAGTAAACAGTGAATCAACAACATACACTTATTATGGACCAAGTCACTTACAATGGTCTTGTAGAGCACTTGCTAAGGAGTACACGGCATTCTGCAATGAGATGAAAGATTTTATAAAGGAGGAATCTGGAAAGAACATGCGCCTCTGGGGCACATTTCCGCCCTCCAAAAATGGGGATGTCGACCGTAACGTCTCAGTTCAGCACTGGGCAAACTTTGAAGCCCTTGCTGGTGAATGGCTTAACAGCGGTTACCAGGTACTCAACTCATGGGACTCTGTCTACATCGTAGGAAAATGGAACCAGTGGTATGGGCAACAGCTCAACCTTGATTTCCTATTCCACGGAGCGCCTGATAAAAAGCCTTTTTCTCCGAACATCTTTGATTCGAGCAACGCCACGGCTAACGCTAAGCGAGAGGATGGGAGAATATACGGTCACATCGCTCCGCAATGGAACGACTACGGACCCAACGCCACCACGGTATTGGAGGCGTATTACAGCTGGCGTGATGGCCTTCCTGCTTTAGCCGACAAGCAGTGGGGAGGGGAGTTGACGGCAGATGAGTACCCAGGTTTGTTCGCCGCTATTCAACCGCATGTTCCAGCTCAGAACCTCGATCGTCGAGTCAAGACGAAGACTTCAACGATCATCGACATCAACTTTTCTAGTACTCGCTACTGCGAAGGGAAATTCAAGGACTCGTCTGGCAACGGGTATGACGTGACCACAAATTGTGCCAATACCGCAGAAGGCGTTCTGCTTGAGCCAGGGTGCGAGGTGACAACTCCACTCGAGTCTAAAGGCAGAAACTATACCCTTTCATTCAGTGTCAAGCCCACTTCAGATGCAAAGGGGCCTATATTCACGGGCAGAGACAGTGCACTGTGGTACGGCAACGGGACCGTCGACAGTGTCATGATGTTTTCCGGCGAAAGCGTCTACGCCCTCAACTACACCTTCCCAGTTGGGGAATGGACCAACGCCACGTTGAGAGCACAAGGAACACGGACGTATCTAGACGTGGGAAGTGATGCTCCAAGGGAGTTCCTCACAGTCATCGGATGGACCGGGGACAAATTTGTGTGGGACAAGATGGCCTTTGAAGCACCTATTGCCAAGATTGGAGGTGGAGAATTCCAGGGCCTGATTGGTGGTCTGAAACTGGTCGATATTGATTTCTGAGAGCATCGCAGGGGAGCAGAAGGATCTCATGTCAATATCAATGATATCTCCTGACTTCGTTTCGTGCTGATAGTTCTTTCTGAACATCTCACAGTAAGCCAACAGTTCTCAAAGGGCTAGTGGAGGATTTATATCCGCGAGTGACGAGCAATTGAATCAGTTTTCATTCCGAATTGATGATGTCAATTGTCTTCCACGTTCAAAATCGGTATTAGATTTTATTGCATACGATCGAACCGTAGAACAACCGAATGCTCAAAGGGAAGTAGACACCTCTGTTATCGGACGTCGCCCCAAATACAAATATTGTATCTTTTCTTTGAAATTTTCACTCCTCCAACGCTTGTTAGCGTCAAGATACCCAGCACTGACGCAATCGGCCGTCCTGAGTCGCGGCCAATTAAGGTTCTCACAAGGCTGCGTCTCTGGGAAAAATTTTCGTAGCCTTTCCTTGAGCACTTGGCCACTCCAGAAAGCCAAGGGCTAAACTGGTGTGACTGTCTGCTGACTCAATGGTCAAAATTGGAGCCCTCACAGATGATACGACTCCTGACACCGCAGGCAGCGATCAATTTATTTATACTGGAGACCGGGCACGACTCTTTTCCTCAAAGAGACGGTGCTTTTGGGCAGGTCACTCGGCAATTCGGCACAATCCTGCTTAGAACTGCTTTGAGTTTGATCATCCCCCGGCTGTGGCCAATAAGCTATAGCCAAATTCGTAGCCACAAGGTGCCATCCTTGTTTGTATGACCAACGGAAACGGCGAGATCCGATGGTTACCGTGAAGCTATCACTTTCCCAGCGAGCACGCAATCGACCTGGTCCCAAAGGATGACAACCAAAGTTTCCATGATGGCGTTGATAATAAGGAGCAGAATGTCCTTCTCTGGTTGTTCGGGGACGGGAGGATATCCAAGCGCCATTCTGCTGCCAAACTTAGTTCGGGAGCCATTAATTCCAGAACAATACCTCCCTGACTAATACAGAAGGTAGCAGTGAGCGGAGACGAGGAGCAGAGAAGATCGGCAGCGAGATTCCTTACCTTCTGATAAGGAGTGACATCTGAGCCTGAGACATCAATATTGATACCAACTTGTCTCTGTGAGGGGATCATTGAGGGAGACCTCTCGCCCCCGTCTTCAACATGACGAGATCTGTGGAGAATTTCCCGGGTGACAAGTGGCCCAATGAGAGCAATGGAGTCGTCGACGAGGAGGGATCCCCTCGCCACGTGCAGCAAGACCGCCTACGACGTTCCCTGTCGGCGCGACAGGTGCAGATGATCGCGATTGGCGGCACGATTGGCACCGGGCTGTTCCTCGGGACGGGAAAGTCGCTGGCCACGGGTGGCCCTGCGTCTATGCTGATATGCTACGCCATCACCGGTGGAATTGTCTTCGTTACCATGCTGTGCCTCGGCGAGATGTCCGCCTTCGTGCCCGTAGCCGGCAGCTTTTGCACATTCGCTGGGTAAGTAAATAAAACCTTCAATCCTCTCTTAATATGGTTCAGAACTAAATTCATAAACAACCAGGCGTTTTGTTGATGATGCGTTTGGATTTGCCTTGACCTGGAATTACTGGTTCAATGATGCCGTCTCGACGGCTTCAGATCTGGTCGCCCTCCAGCTTTTACTAGAATATTGGACAACGAACTTCCCAGGTTGGGCTCTTAGTCTCATCTTCTGGGTTGTGCTTATTCTTGCCAATATCATTACTGTCCGAGCATACGGCGAGGTTGAATACTGGCTCAGCTTGCTCAAGATCATCACCATCATTGTAAGCTTACGAAATACCTCCACCTTGGAAATGAAGTCACTAACATGTTCCAGGTCTTTATCGTCATGGGAATTGTTGTCAACGCTGGTGGTAACGCTACTGGTCATTACATCGGCGGCGAAAATTGGCACATTCCCGGAGCCCCTTTTGTAGGTGGCATTGGTGGATTCGCCTCTGTCTTTGTCACTGCATCCTTTGCCTGTGAGTACAGACCAATAAGTAATCGTGTTTTGGGGGAGCTCGAGCGCTAACATGCCATAGACGGCGGTACTGAATCCATCGCCATCACCGCTGGAGAGACCAAAGACCCAACACGCAACATGCCAAAGGTTGTGAAGAACGTCTTCTGGCGAATCCTACTTTTCTACATCCTCTCCATTCTCCTCATCGGTTTGAATGTCCCATACACATACCCGAACCTCAGTACCAAGACCAGCCACACATCCCCTTTCACCATTGTTTTTGAAATGACGGGAGCCAAAGCTGCGGGTAGTGTCATCAACGCCGTGATCCTCACCAGTGTCCTCTCAGCTGGTAACCATGCTCTGTTTGCCGGTGCAAGGTTGCTATATACGTTAGCTATGCAGGGACATGCCCCCGCTGTGTTTGGCAAACTGAACAGGCAGCAGGTGCCTTGGGTAGCTGTCCTCGCCACGTCGCTCATTGCCGGTCTTTGCTTTGGATCAAGCTTCATCGGAGCTGGTCAGCTATGGTCATGGCTCCAAAAGTATGTTATCTCATTGTCCTTCTAATACTCCTCTTTGAGATCAAACTCACTAACTTGGTCTAGCATCGTTGGTGTGTCGAACCAGCTCAGTTGGATCTCCATTGGAATTGCCTCGATTCGTTTCCGCTCAGGAATGGAGCGACAAGGGAAGACTCACCTCTTACCTTTCAAGAATTGGACGTATCCCGTCGGGCCATGGATCGCCGTGCTTCTCGGTAGCTTCCTTGTGCTCGTCCAAGGATGGAGCTGCTTCAGTCCCAAATTTAGTGCTGTCGATTTCGTGAGCTTTTACATTGAGCTGCCCATCATGCTTCTCATGTTTGTAATCTGGAAGCTGGTGAAGAAGACCAAGTTTGTCAAGCTGGAAGAGATGGATCTTGAAACAGATGTGTACACGGTTGATGAAGACCATAAATTGGAACCGGAGGACGAGAAGGGTTGGAAGGGCAAGGCCAAGACGGTTTTGACCTGGTTCTTTTAGCGTACTTCATCCTTATTACGTAGGATATTATGCAAGCAACTCGCCTCTAGCCTTTGACTCTTACTGTATCCATGTGAATGTGGCGGTGGTGGAATGGGGAGTGGTGAATGTCCTCTGACGAGACTGCCTGTACTCCTTGGTGAAGATTAACGAGCCAGTGAAACATTGATCGGTGAGATGGCCGAGTTGGTTATGGCGTCAGGTTAAGGCTACCTTAGCATTCATTCCTGGTGGAGCAATCCTCCTGGGTTCGAGTCCCAGTCTCATCATTCCTTTTGCCTCGCATTGGTAAAGGCAATCTTTTTGCACATCATCGTGTGTACTACAATGGCTTTTTATTTAACTGCGACGTAAAATTTCCAATTTCCAATTTAGAGCTTTGACAGAATCTTGCACGAGAGTTGAGAATCGCTTTCTGCTTCAATTATTTCTGGCTACCCTATACACATGACAATGCCTGCTAAAGTCCAAGTAGGCGGGATTTTCTGTGATTCGTGGCCTAAGTTTAAAGAAACATATAGTCTAGCTTATATTTAAATGATACATGATCAAATTGCTTGTTTACTTGGTAAATTGTGATGAATATATCATCTCATCAAGTAGAAGGTAACCTCATTATTCGTACTCTTATCCTAAAGAGCCCACGTACAACATCCTCACATTAACCCAGAAACGTTAACAAAAGTGGTTTTAATTTTCATTCAACTCAAAAGAAGAGCTCCATTAACTTACCGTCTATTTTCTAGTTTATTAGGCATAATGTCGTTCATGTCATTATCTATATGAAATTTACCTCTCAAAACCCCTTAACATCTATCCATCGTTGTCGCATTAAGCGATCAGGCTGGTGTGCCTATTTTCCATCCAACTTTGCGCACCCTAGTTATTGTAACAAAAAGGGTGCACAGGAAAGTTGCCAGCGCTGCCCAGATTTCAGCCACGCGATAGCCTCCATGTTCCGCCGTCTGTATCGCTCCTCCGATAGGCGGCCCAGTAAGGGCAGCAAATGAAATCACGGTGAAGAACATACCGAGTCTCGTCCCGAGCATGTCAAGACTCTTGGTGATGCTGGCCAACCCGGTAGGAATTAGACTTTGGAACCCACCAGAGAACAGACCGTAGATTGCGGCCCAGATATACATTCCAACACGATCAGATGTTGCAAGCCAACAGAAAGCCATGACGGTCACACAACAACCCATTATAACCATCATATTCAGCGGTCCATACCGGCCCGCCAGCAATGGAATGACGAGCCTTGCAGGAACACCAACTCCGTTGACGATTGTCACAAGGTAGGCGGCTTCCGAGTACGGCATGCCGAGAACTTGGATCCCAAAGGCGCCAATCTATTTTCATCGTAAGCTCGGGAGAGATCAATGGAAGAAACTTTTTACTTACATGATAGAACGTGTAATACATAGCCCAGTTGAAGAAGAAGAGCCCAGCATTGTAGCTGAGAAAGACGGACTCCTTAAAGGCCACCCAGTCAATAATGGGGCCGGCTTTGCGTGGCGGCAGTCTCGACTTCATGAGGCAAGCAACCAGGGCGAACCCAACCATGTGCACAAATCCGATCAAGCGCATGGTCCAAGCAAAGCCAAGACGAGGGAGAAGACCCCGTACGAGGATGGGGTAGGCTAGACCACCTATCGAGTTGCCCGTCGTTATAATACCCAGAGCGATGGCTCTGCGGGAGCTGAAATAGGTCAAAACGAGGCCGACTGACGGCGTAAACAAAATGCCACCTCCAAACCCCGTCAAGATGCCCTGTGTGAGAAGCAGCTGCCAATACTTGGTGGCAATACTCGTTAGGAAAATTCCGACGAGCTGAAGCACGGCGCCAACAAGCAGAGCTGGGGTAAAGAAACCGGCATCCAGCAGACGGCCAGAGAATGCGCCCGTGGAAAATGTAAGCCAAGCCTGGACCGAACCAATCCACGAGATCGTGGATGGGCTTTCAGGGAGCTCGGAAATATAATACGCCTGGAACCCGCCGAAAGAGTTCACCCATCCCCAGCTGATGACCATTACGATCCAGCCCATCGCAACCTGAGTCCACGCTTGGACTCCGCCATCGGGGGGTTCGCTAGTTGGGGGAGGACTGGTGGGGGCTGGTTCCTCCTCATCTCTGGCCTCGACGTTGCGTACTGTCATGGCGAAACTCGGTCGGATGAATCCAGCTTCTTGGCTAAAATTCCTGTAGCAAGGCCGGCCAGTTTGGCAATGGCGATATTTCTGTCTCTTCCCCTTATCCGTGAGGTATTTTTGATTTCCGTGTTATATGCGGCTTGTCCGATGGTGGAGATTTAGGTTCCACAGATGGATTTGTGACGAAATCTTCAGCCTAACGTTAATAGTCCATCAAAAGATACAGGGAGAGAGAAAATCAACTGCTTGCGTATATAATTACATTTTGTCTTCTTGCTTAAAAGTTTCCCACTTGAAGAGGGGATAAAAGGTAACAGTGAACTGCACAATAATGCTTGGCGTAGTCTCTTTGGACCAACTTAGAACCAACTGCTCCTTCTTGGGGAGAAATAGAAACGGTTCCACCATGGATATTAGGCTATCATTTCGCCATGGAACTGTAGAATGAATTGAATTTGGGAGAACGTCCTTCGGGCTCTATTCAACCAAGCAACGTTTTAATCTCAGGTGGTGAACTGTGGCTTTTAGCAAACCTTCCATAAATCGAAACTATCTTCAGAAACTGGCCGACGAAAAACTAACTATTGTTGCACCGGGAGTCGTATAAATCTAAACCGGGCGAGGCTACCAAGACTTAAATCATCAACATAAATATGATCAAGCCGGTGACAAGGGCGGAAAAGGGGGGAGACCGTCGGAATGTGGACGTCAGTTGGAAGTGGGAGTTCTCCGGCAGCGACAGCACTTGATCGTTTCTCCCAATTAAGCTTATTTGCAAGCTTTTTACGTTGACGCTGGCCGCGTTCTCCGCTTACCAGCTGCACATACTATTTTACCGTGTTTTGCTCATCAGGCAAGCCGCAAATGTCGCAATTATCTCCGAGTTCAGTGGAGCTGTGATTCAGCAATTCTTGGCAGTAGGCAGCATCCTTGTTAGCGCCAGCAACTGAAAAATTCTCAGACTTTGATCATCTGAGTGCCCAGCAGACAGAACTAAGCTATAGCTTGAGAAACCCCTCTGATGAGTTCATATTTGAAGGAATTGTTACATGTGCGGAGGAGAAATGGGCTCGGATCGATACAGACCAACAGCTACATGAACATAATCGTTGAAGGGTAGGGCCACCCACCATCCTAGTATGAGTGTTGGTTGTTGGCCTGGATCCTCCCTTGATCTTCTTCCCTCGTGCTCAAGAGGGTTAGTCTAGATTTGGGGGTGAGATGATTCATTGGGTGTGCATGCATATCCGAACGTCGATGGGTCGATTGTACATACAGGCCATGGCTATCTCCGCTGTCGGATGCGCGTGATCTGTTTCGGTATACGCTCGTATCCGTTGATATTAAGACCTCTCTCCATCAATCCACTTCTGCACTGCTGACTTGAGCCGTGCAAGCGACTGAGCCGCCTGGAAAGTGGGAGCACTAATACTGGACACTCCCCATGCCTTGTTGTCTCACCGCTGCAGGAAGTTGTCACATGAAAGTTCTCCTGTATACTCCACCCACCATAAGCAACCTTATCGGTTCCACATTCTAGTGCAGCTCTTTTTGCAGGATGACGATTGAATACGGCTCTGGCTGGCCCGCAGTCCTTAGACTTGGCGTCCGCAGTGTGGAACAGGGCTTAGTCTTGGCCCTGGGCCTGCATCTTATCAATCTTGGCCATTTACAGAAGGTTACAGAAGGTAGCCTGGTGGACTTTTGTGCGTTACGCATTGGACCTAGATGGTGATTGCTTTAGCGGATCGTTTGGAGGCTCGTCTTGGCCCTTGACCCTGATATATTTAATTAACAACTCGTCAGCAATACCGTACCTTATTGTGAACCTTCTATCACATTAGTGAGAGTTTCTTTTCTTTTTCCATGCCTTGGTTTTGTGAGGCTGTCTGCCAATACCCCCATTGGCTTGTCCATCGACTAAGTCAAGCAATTCGCATAACCCTAATGATACCCCTATTGCTTGGCAAAGTTCCGAAGTGGGAGCTGGCTTTCGGATTTTAAAAGGGTATACCTCACACGTGGTAGCTCAGCTCTCCCGAGATTACAGGGTTCAGAGGATAATCGCTGCCACTCTCGCAGGAAACCCGTCGGTTCGGGCGGCCGCCACAGACATGGCTACCATAGACCTTCTTGGCGATGGGACCAGTTAAACAGCCGGGCCAATTATGTCCGGAGAGATCAAACCGACTTGACCCAGGAGAAGCGTATCGGTCTAATTCCATCTTCTGCGTGAATTTCTAAAAAGACTACCAACTATCGATGACGAGGATTACTAAAGTATAAATGTCCATGCCGCCATGTCCTCAAAACAGAATTGAGACGTTGACCAATACTACTCAGCTCAGTAGGCTGAATTAAACGTCATCCCCTTCTGTGCCTCTTTCTTTCCCCCTTCTCAGCTGCAATTAAACATGTCCGCTCCCCAAGTGCCTCGTGGCCCTCCAGAAGAGAGGAAGGCGGCTGTCCCCGTCGTCTCAGTTCCATTGGAGGAAGAAAGTATATCTGCTGAGGATGAGCCAGTTCAGAAAGTGATCCCATGGACCTACAAATGGATTGCATTAGCATGTGTTGTTGCCTTTCCCATCGGACAAAACTGGACCAACGCCAGCCTAGGTCCTCTCAAGAACACACTCCGCCAGGAACTAGGCATCACAAATGCCCAGTTCGGAGTGATTGCCAGCGCTGATTCATTTGTCAACTCTATTTTCCCGATTTTGGGGGGCATGATCCTTGACTGGAGGGGGCCCAACCCTGTCACCATCTGCTGTACAGTCGTCATTTTTCTCGGCTCGGTTGTTGCTGCTGCCTCCATCCATATCTCGGCTTGGCGTATGCTCGTCGCTGGTCACGTCATCATGGGTTTTGGCATTGCCATTCTTGATCAAGCCCAGCAGAAGGTGAGACACCTCTTCCTGTACCCTAGCAAACCCAAGATAAAATACTTACTGCTCCCTTTCGTTACATAGTTCATTTATCATTGGTTTGGTGCTGGAGGTCTAGCATTTGCCTTTGGTCTTGAGAATGCCATATCTGGTGTTGTTGGTCTCGTTGCCGGCATGGTTGCCATCCCCATCCGTGACAGTACTGGCTGGTATGGCTGGACGTTCTGGGTGCCGGCTTTCTTCTGCTGCGCCAGTATGTTGATCAATATTGCCTACGTCTTTTTCGAGCATGTTTTTATCCCCAAACAGTACCGTTTGACGTCTGCCAGGGCCAAAGCTGTTGCAAAAAGTCATGGCCTTAACGTCAAACGCACATTCTCCTGGGACTCGCTTTTGAAACTCCCCTGGCAGTATCTGATGCTTCCCGGAACTCAGATTCTGCAGAGTGGTGGCGCCAATGGTTTCGGTGTTTCGGCGGCAGATATGATCCGGATGAAGGGATACAAAGAGGACACTGCCGGCTTCATGACTACAGGTCAGAAGGTGATTCGGATAGTGGGAGCCCCTGTTGTCGGCTGGCTCATCGATAGATATGGCCATCGATTCCACCTTGTCGCCCTCGCACCCCTCTTCTATGTTCTTGCGAACTCCCTCATCGGCTTCACGAGCGCCCATCCACTTGTGGCACTTGTGATGCAGTCAATCGCAGGTCTGATCAATGGTATGCCTCTAAACGTTAGCATTCCCCTACTAGTTGCCGACCAGGACAAGTTGGGGACTGCTTTTGGTGTCTGGAGGGCCTTCAACAATTCTGGTGCTACAATTGTAAGACTGAACTTACCCAGATTACTTCTTCGCTTTTGCTAATTGCCAGTTCAGATGGAAGTTGTATATGGTGTGGTTCAGGACGGCACAGAAGCAATGGGTTATGGCCGAGTCTTGATCATTTCGTCATGCATCAAAGCTGTCGGTTTCTTTATCGGTATTACGTATATCATTGTCGACTTCAAAAAGCTTGGAAAGGGTATCACCATGACGCGATCCCAGCGAGAGGCGCGGGAGTCTGAGATTGAGGACAGAGACGCCGATCCACTTACGAGGAGAAGACCGGTTAAGGCATGGACAATATACGTTATGTGTGCTCTGGTGGCTATGGTTGCAACTGGGTGGACTCTATTCATCAAGTATCTCAGCTAGAACCAGATTATCCGTATACTGTATTTGTGTACTTCCAAAGGCGGGAATTTGATGTATTAAACTGGAATTCAATACATTTCCCAAAAAGAAAAGGAGGAAAAGTCAATAACTTGCAAACCATTATACTAAAGATCACGCTATTCAGTCTCATTATTTCTTCTTCTATCTTGATAACTTTGCAGTTATGTGTTTTGTATCTATTTCGCCAGATCAATAAGCGAGGAATTGGAAAGGCCCTTGTCAAAACACCGGTACTTGTCTGGGTTTTCTTGTATTTTTCGCGTGACAACTCCAAGCCTTCGAACACCTTCCATGATATCATCCTCTGGGACATATGCAAATGTCAATCTGATGTATTTGTCGGTATCAATTTCGTGTTTGTTATCCTCCACTTGGAACATCGTGCCATTTCCGATGATAAGCATATCAGCCATCGCTACTTCAGAGATGACTCCGGATGAAATACCGTCTGGGGTTGTCAACCAAGCAAAGTAACCCCCGTAAACGTTTCCACGCAGCTGTCCTGCCTCTCGAAGCTGAAAGCCAAGTGGAAGAAGATGGGTATGAATCGCATCCACCATGACGCGATGTCGGTGCTGAAGATTTGGTCGCACTTTGTCGGCGAGGTGTTTCTGAAGGGTGCCGGTTTCGATCATATCTGCCAATATAGATGCACAGAACTGGCTCGGTGAGCCACCAGACTTGGTCGAACCTGTTTGCGCAAGCCCAAATGCAAAAGCAGTCGAGCCTTCAAGCCATCCAGTGCGCATTCCAGGGCCGACCATCTTGCTGAATGATCCATTGCTGACCGCGTGTCCGAAGCCCTTCGGGTCGTTAGGAGAAGGCTCCATGGCAAGATCGATATCGCAGAGTCGAGGTAGAATCATTTCGGGTGCCTCATGTGGACTTATTGTCGGCTTATCCTGCTGATCAATCGGCCACTGAAGTTGATCATAGACATCGTCACAGATGACGAGAGCATCAAACTTGCGTGCCAGCCTTACGAGTCCTTCGCGGCGCTTGACTGGCATTGTCTTCCCTGAGGGATTGGCGCACGTGGGAACAACGTAGATGATATGGTGATAAAACTTGCGATGCGGTCCAGGCTCTTTTACTGGAATCTGTGTTTCTTAGCCACTCTCCGATCTTAAGTGCTTGGATGAACGGTTATGTCAGATCATACCTTTTCGCCTTGCTCATCTTGCTCTTCAAACTGGCGCATCTTCTCCTCAAGTACCTCAAGATTTGGCCCCTCATCATCTTCAGGAAATTCCATCAATCTATTTTTGAAACCCGCGTCGTCGAATATAGCAAATACGAGGTGGTAGGTTGGGTTGACTAGCCACACAGCACGCGTGACGTTTGGATCTGTGAAGCTCTGTAGGATGCATGCGATGTTCTGGCTTGCACCGCCAGAAATGCAAATTCGTTCGGGGTCACGCGGGACACTATAGTGTGAATGCAGCCATGTTGCGAGAGCCTCACGCAAAGGCTGGAATCCAGGATCTGCGCCGTATTGAAGGGCCGGAATAAAAACCTCGGGTTTTGAAAGAACCGCTTGCGAGGAGGCAGACAGTAGATCTTTAGGGAGAAGCCCGGGGTGTGGCCAGCCGCGCAGCAGATTGATGAGGTGAAGCGCTGCTTTGGCCATGATAACGAAATCAACGCAATGATAAGCAACGGAGTAATTTGGGGCGGTGTTTTGGGAGAGAGCCTAAGCAAAGTGAAGGGTGGGTGGAGCGCTTTTATACCTGTTGCGGGAGGGATGGCCAGCAAGGGGGAGGTGCTCTCTCGCATACACTCGGCACTTCTCAATGTTGGAAGGCTTCTCCGAATCTATTACAAATTGTTTCATGCTTCTGAGAAGCTGAATCTCCACCCGGTAAGCAATCCAATTGACGCCATATACGCACTCGCTCCCACACTGGTCTGGCGTCACCACAGTTGGAACCCAAGAGGTAACACGAATGCGCTTTCACCATATTATAGAGAAATGAGTTTTATGAATATTACGTGATTTACTCACTTTTCAGGTTTTTTAGTGGTTCCGCGATCTTGTTTTACTTTTGCTCCCCTCCAAATAATTACTCTCTGGAGATCAACGAGTAGCAGACTTCACATCCCCAGCACAGCTCCAACTCTATTAATATTTAATTACCTCTATAACGCTAAAACTCAGACATGATGGTCTTCGAAAAATCCATATCCAATGCCCATAGAGCCAAAACAGTCCCTTCCGAAACTTGAAAGTCCCTCAAACTACCGGGAGGACCTCTGTCGCAGGCGGGTGAGAAGAGAAGGCTTCCGAGGCGTGGATTACTCTTCGGCCTTGAGATCCTCCAACCCGGTTGTGAGATCAATATCATGCAGGGAATAACACCAGGCATCTGATCTTCCAGCAGTGAGCCGGTGGCCAAAATATAGTATCAAGAATATGGGGATGCCGATATAGGCGCTGAAAAAGGAAGACACCGACCACGAGGACGGCAAGAAGACCTCAAATCCATTTATCAAGTAGAGTACTGAAAAAATCCCGATACACGCGTAGGAGCTCCACGGCTGAAACCTTGAGGTGTATGGGAGGTCCTCACTTGGGAGCTCTTGAGCAGCGAATGCACTCTGAAACCGGATTGAAGTCCATGAAACTTATGTTAGTCCAATTTTCTCATTACACTGAAATCAGACAGCACTTACGATAGCGCAGCAAATCCAGGAAATGAATACAGCAGTGTTCACAAGGTTGACAAACCAGCTAAAGACCTCACCCGCCTTGGAGCTGACATTCAAGTACGCCAGCAGAGAGAAGGCGGAGCTGGCCAAGACACAACGTAAGGTACACCTTTTTTCGTGCACTTTGTGAAGATTTTTGGTGCTTGTCCTTTAAGCGCCATCGAGTAGAGAGATCTGCTAGACTGGAAGATAAATGCATTGCCGGCAGACCAGGCAGAAGTGAGAATCGCAGCATCGATCACACTGTCAAGTCCTTTGATGCCAGCTCTCTTAATTCCAAGGACAAAAGGTGATGAGCCAGCACCTGAGGTGCCATTAGTGAGCTCCTTTTCATTAGAAGGACAGATAACACCAATGGCGATGACAGAGCCAACATAAAATACAAGAATGCGGACAATGAAGCTCTTTGCAGCCCTAGGAAGGTTGCGACGAGGCGATTTCATTTCACCGCAACAGAAAACAAGCATTTCTGGGGCAAACGAGAACTGTGTTTCATCCTATTGGTGAATATATGGAGAATCTCGGAGGGGTAAGACAAACAGGAAGAAGTGCCGAGATCAGTGTGCTCCAGAAGCTGACCGCATAGCCTGCCAAGCCCTCGAGAATATAAGGGTTGACAGCACTCGGATCTTTCCAGTAGTGGAAGCCAAGCCTTGGGTTTCCGGGTCCTCCCCACTTGAAGATCACGAACGAGAGTATGAGAAGTCCAATGATTGTAATAACCTTGAGCGACGCGAAGTAGAATTCTGTTTCTCCGTACACCTGACATGAGTATATAAGCGATCAGCATGAAGGCCGGACCACCCTTCGCAAGGTTCACACCACTGCCCACGAACAAGGCGGTACCGATGGTACCGCCCAGAGCAATGAGCTGTGCATGCCGCGATTTTAGACCACGTTTTTTCATGGGCTCTTGGATTTCTCCATTGGAGGTGTCGCTCGTTGAAGGGCAGTAGACCGGACTGTGCTTTTTTCAGGAGCATCACTGCCACCCAAGTTTTCTAACGTGGCAGCCATGTCGAGATGAAGTCTGACAGTTCCAGAAAAAGGAATTGCGAGAAGATCCAAAGTCGATACATGATTGAAATTCACGGTAGCAGAGCATATGATAAATATCTTGTCGGGAGAGAAGTTGTCGGAGAAATCTCGACGAGCGAGCTTTTCCGTGGAGACTAAATCCAGAATCAAAGATAAGGGAACTGAGCTCGCTGACTGCTTCCACTCTTGCTAGTCTATGAGTCTGTGGAGCTCGGAGATATCCATGATTTGGTTTGCCTGTTCAGTGGGTCGGTCCCTGATTCAAGTCTGTGACGCAGGATTGGTAACCAATCGAAACGTGAATTCACCCCACAACAAGCATTATAACTTAGGAACCTATTAGGATTCGGGAATAATGAAGCCATGAGATGAATATCGTTCGATGATAAGCCGGACGTCAGAAGAGCGAGGAGAATGAAAGGAGGTTGGGTTTAGCCTTCCCTTGCATCCGAGTTTCCACATGGTCCGACAAGAAAGATCAAGACTTGCTTTCTTGATTTTTATTTTCGTAATCGACCCAAGTACCGAGAAAATCTCAAAAACCCCAGACTATCATGTAGCGCAAGTGTAATGTTGAATCTGGGGAAGTTCAATAAGAGTACTTGTCAACCTATCAACCCTCGATCATCTCATTGGTTTCCAAGTCATCAAGTTGCTGCAGATTACTTATTTCCATGTGTCTCCGGCCGGCTCGTGTCGGGAATAACAAATGGGCTGGCTAGGTTCAGCATTTGCAGGGTCATTTACTGGCACGCTTGGCTCAGTGATTAGTTCAATTACACATATCATCGTGTCTTTGGATCCATTAGACCTTGATTCCCCGCACGAAAAGCATCTGGCAGATGACCGACCCACACCTCGCTGACTGCTTCCCTGTTAAAATCTCGCTGACTGTTTCCTCAAACCAACCGAGTTCGGAGTGCCTGATAACGACAACGTTCATGCTCTTCAATCTATCGGTCACACCAACGAATATATAAGTCAATAGCTTCAACTACGGTCGGAAGGAGTTGCAGCGCGATTGATAAGAGAATATTCAGATATCAAGAGTTGCATCATGGTTCAGCGCATTGCTCGGGAAGCCGGCCTCCAGGCCTTCATTGACGCCGTCGAGAAGGATGGATGCGTTATCATCAAAGATTTCACAGACTTCGAATCTCTCGAGCAGGCAGGAAGAGAAGTTCAACCATATCTTGATGCATCCATAGCAGATGCTGGAAGCACTGTGGGTGCGCTGAACGGAGGAACGGCCACTTGCACTCGGCTCGTAGGGCGAAGCAAGACGGTTCGGGAGAAGTACTTCTCCGACTCGTTATACCAGGTATGCTTACACACACCTGGATCTCTCCAACCGAAGTCAATCTCTAATCGGAAACTCTAACAGAGCATTGCCGACCATTTTATCGGCCTGGAGACAAAGATATGGTATGGATCAGAACCTACCATCCAGAAATCAAACCCCCTCCTCTCCATCTCTATCACAATGTCCTCGCAACCTGGGTGCATGCCTCAAAAGCTTCACCGTGATGACAAGAACCACCACCATAGACATCAACAGGCGAGTCAATACTCCAAGGGACGTGACATGCTCATTGGGTTGTTCGTCCCCGCATGCGACACTTTCAAGGCCAACGGCGCAACACGCATCATCCCGGGTTCTCATCTGTGGGGTGACGATAAGCCTGACTTCGGAGATGATGGGAACAAAGGCGTTATCGACGCCGAGTTGAAGAAGGGAGAGGCGTTTGTCATGTTGGGCAGCCTCTACCACGGCGCTGGCGAGTATACGCTCCAGAATGGCTGCCGCACGGTGCATATCATGTTTATGTGCAGTGGTGTGCACCGCCAAGAGGTAAGTCTTATATATTTCGCCACAGACATCAATTGCTAACAGTATTCTTAAAGGAAATCCCATACCTGAGCTATCCAATTGAAGACGTCAAGACGTATTCCCAGCTTGTGCGAGATCGACTAGGATGGAAACAATCTGAGCCAAATCTTGGATGGGTTGACCTCAGGTCCCCGGAGTTTTTACTGGAGTAAACAGTGTGATGCATGTAGCTAGATAATATAAGTCCATAGATGAATTAATAAGTATGAAGTGCATTCTCTCGGTTCCCAAATGTGAGTGTCTGCTACTGGTGTTGATTAATCTAAATAAACCAGAAATTGTATCTTAAATTCACATTTTGTTATTTTATAGGCACTTTGAGAGAGCTTGAGTACCAAGTAAAAAAAAAAAAAAGGAATTTAAGTTACAACCTCTACAGGTAGCCCTAGACGTAGATATTAATGCTTGAAGTGTACAGCCAGTTTGTGGCCACAAATCAGCCAGTCTATGAGCTCTATGAATTCAGTATGCAGTACGAACACATTTTCACTATCTTTTGCCAAAAGATACCATCCCAGTCGCCAGCCCTCTCAGAAGTCCCTGCGCCTACAAGCGACTCGTCCATAAAGTCACAACTCCTCGCTACACCTCAAATCATTACGTTGGTTTTCGAGTGAGTCTCATATACGAGTATTTTGCCTGATATTCAAATCATTAGTATTGATGGTATCATAATAGTACAGAAAGTCGAAGGTTAGATGGCCAGTATCCTCGTCCCTCTCCTTCGTAAAACAACCGCCCAATACGGCTCGCCATCATCAAGCTCACTGTCCTGCAGAGCCCAAGTTTCCTGGACAACAGTCCATAAATTTGAAATATTACCAATCCGATACTCGAGCATCTGGTTCCACCATTTGGCCCAGACGGGGCGGTCGGACGCGCTGGCCTGGCACGAGGCAATGAACCCTGGCCATGAAATGGTTGCAGTCGGGATCACGTTATAGCCTGTACGCTTCTTGATTTCCTCAATCTCAGTGAGCTGTGAGGCGACACTTCGCACGAGGAATTGGAGCGTATCCTGGTCGCAGGGGAGCACGCGGGTGTGATAATAAATCCGGATACTTGTCGCAAATGCCAGGATATGCTTTGATATTAGAAGAAGAGTAATGTCGTCACTCTTGGAAAATGAAACCAGCGGCTCCTGGCTGATATGCCACTCCGAAATTTTGGCCAAAAGCTGTTCACGAGCAGCCAAGAACTCGTCTGGGAGATCCGTGTTATTTGATCTGTAGTACGCAGTATTCCGTGCCAGAATGCACGTTTGGCGAATAAAGCCAGCAAGTTTGGCAGTGACACCATATGTAAACTCCAAAGTGCTGCCATCTCCAAGGAAGAGCGGCGCGTTGTAGATATCGCGTGACCACGGCAGAGGCTCGTTACCGACGTCTAATGAGTCGCTCAATGTACGAAGAAAGTATGAGATGTTGATAAGGTGTTCTGCTTGAGAGCCTGGGAGTACATGCTGCCGAAGGTTTCTTACGAGACCTTTTGTTGCATCCAGATGGATCCAAAATTCGTTCATTTGTCCGTCAAGAACCTAAAGCTTGTGAGCAAGAAGCTACATTCATCGGGGTTGAGAAAACTCACATCGGCTGTTACTAGGGTTAGCATCACAGATAGCACACCTTCGTAGTCAGAGAGGGATTTATTTGATGATGAATGGCCAGATGTAGTCTTTGAGTCAAAAAGCGACTTCAGTGCCAGTTGCAGGTGTGCTTGTGCTTTCAAGCGGAAACTTGTGGCCAATGCATCCGCCTCACCAAACCTGTCAGAGCCGCGAAGGAAGAACGCAGACGAGGTGAGGAGCGCGTACAACAATGCGGTTTTGCTGTTCAATGCGATATTTGAAGGTCCTAGGTTCTGGATCTCATTCTCGTTCTTGGAGAATTTCAAAGCCACAGCCATAGCTTGCGTAGCATATATCGAGCTATAGGCGTTTCCAGAGTGAACTACAGGCTGCAGGACAGTGGCGACATTGTGCACATAGTTGTGCATTAGTTGTTGGACAAGGATATCTTTGCTGTCTTCTCTGCCAAGCATTGGGAAGGGGTTGACGAGAGAATGGCAAATGTTTAAGATATCTTGAGACTCGGCGGCCTTGCCAGCGGTGTACAAGGAGAGGGCGTTTTCTGAATGGGGTTGAAAATCTTCAATCACATCATCCTCTTTGATGGAAGCAATTTCTGTATCTGCTTCTCTCTCGTCAAGGGCCTCTTCAAATATCTCCGGCATGGGGGTATCTGAAACAGGCAGGGTATCAATGAAGGAGGTGGAAGGTTTTGTGCGCAATTGAATCTGGGATGTGAAGACCCCAAAGGGTCCAGACGCGTAGGCTCCCCGAGCCTCGGTGGCCTTGTACCCATCGACATCTTGTAAATGCTCGTCAACATCGTTGATCTGCCCTACACGCCAATGTGGGACTCCGACTGTTCGTCTTGTAAGCACGTGCGCCGACAAATCAGGGGGGATAGGGGTGCAGTACGCGGCAGCTTCATAGCCTGGCGTTTGATGGCCGAGGGGGCGTGAGATTCCTCATCGGTGATCCAGTACAGCGGCACATTGTAGCCTTGACATTCGATATTTGCTTTGATGCAGCGGTGGCATTTTGGGCGGTTGGCGTCGCACTTCACTTTCCTGGATCGGCATGTCCAACAGCTGCGGCACATCCGTGATTAGCTCTCTACCCACAAATCGGGTGGAGACTCATTGATTACCCTGTAAATGTCTTGGTTTTGACTCTTTTCTTCGAAGACGCATTATTACCACTCATAATCACCAACAACTCCCATATTGTGGGAGGGCTCGTTGGGAGTGCAGGCTAGAAGAACGAACAAAATGAAGCGCTGGTTATTGCGGAACTCGCGCCGTTGTTCTTATCTCTTATCAGTTCTTATCGCATTCTTCCTGGATCACGTGATGAGGTATCCATCTAATGAGTATCAACAAATGTTCCAAAGATCCAATTTGAGAGTGATCAGCCGACTAAAAGTATAATTCATCAAAATCAGTCAGCATTCTATGAGTCCTGCTCTTTTTGTTGCATACATTGAAAGACACAAGAGAGATAATTTCATATGTGTTAGGCGGTTATGTACCCTTTTTAAGTTTAGTTCACCTGGTTCTCATGTAGAGGTAACGGCTCTAGGGTAAGCAGGCAGAGAGCGACAAGATATGCGTTAGCCTTAAATAGGCTAATCTGATCCTTCCAGGCTGATAAGATAAACTTAGCTTCCTGTGGCTGAAACAGTGGCTGGTGATGGCTAATTTCCTAGCCAACGGCGTCACGTGCGATAATTGCGACCAAAGGCTGTATTTTCCTAGGTCCAGCATTAAATGTATTTTTTTGTCTTCCGCTTGCGCTGACTTATTTCCTTGTCGGGTTTCTGCCTCAGCCATGCTCTCAACTGCTTCTCGCGCTGCCGCTATCGCTCCCTCGCTCCACAATGCCGTGTCTTTGCTGACTTCGTTGAATCGATCTTTCCAAAACTTCCAGCGCCTATGAGATAACCCGGGCTTGCCTTGGAACAAACTTCCAGCGGCAACATCAGTACCCCAGTCAAATGGTTCTGGTTCCTTGTCCTCGTCCTCCGCCCATTGCAGCAACCTTGCGCCGGAGTGAATAGCAACGTCATTTGTTTTCCATAGTCAGTTTCAATTTACAGTATCCCCACTTCTCGCTCATCTCTCCAAGGCGCCAAAGCGTCGTGAGAGGGGGAGATTATATCGTTTAATTTCAAGCAAGCCGAGCACCACTCAGCTTCCTCCTTGGCATTCGTAGATAGCATATTTGAATCGAGGGGGAGCACTGTCTATGGCTAAGAAGTTTTTATTCGCCCTGTTCTTAGTTTAATGGGGCGTATCTCTAGCCCGGATGTTGCGAACTTAAACGGGATGTACGGAGCTATCGTTCATCCCATATTAGTGCGGACACGACATATACGACGCAACTCCTCCGGGTGCAGCCACCCTCTTATAAAGCGTGTGGAGCACCCTTAAAGGAGAGTATGAACCTTTATTTCTCCAACTTTCCAAGATAAGTGTGCATCAAAAGATCCAAACCCACGAAAAGAGCACAATGGCAGACTTTAAGGAACTGCGAGCAACACTCCAGAGAACTGCCATTAATTTTATTGATCGCTGCAATGAACACACTGTCGATGCTGTCCTCTCTATCCGTACCGACACCTGCAAGCATACACACCTCCCCTCATCACTAGGCATCGGAACCTACACCAACGTAGAATACGGAGCATTCTACGGCCGATTTGCCGACATGATGAAAGACTGCACCTGCTGGATAGTCGATGACAAAGAGATGGTTGTCGATGTCGAGTCTCGAAAGGTAGTGATGCATGTGAAAAACAAGGGGAGCACTCCGCTGGGAGAGTACGAGAACGAATACATGTTCATTTTGACGATGACTGGTGATGGGAAGAAGATTGAGGAGATAATAGAGTTTTGTGATTCAGCAAAGGCGATTGAACTCATGAAGAAACATCAAGGCCAAATGAATGCTTAAAGCTAGAGTAAGGGCATTTGGCTTGGGGGGGTGGATGACAATTTTGGTTCGGGCAACTCAGTGTAATTGAATGGAATTGTGTTTACCATTAGCCATTCCCAATCGGCGCTGATGAAAAAATAACCTTCTATTCTAAGTCGAAAAAAGAGGAAGGTAGTAAGCTTTTTTTGCCACGAACTGCTGCGTAGAAAGATGTTCTTAAGGAATCGACTTTATCCGTGCACTCACTCGAGTGCAAGATTAAAGAAACATGGCACAGTGATTGCGAAACACCAAGGTACAATCATGAATAGTGTTACTTGGGAGGATTGAAGGAAAATTATTGGCATCGTAAATAGTATTGTGCACAAAGATTTTGATCAAAGAGTGTATTTCTAGCAGATTATCAAACTAACCCTAAGGATATGAAAAGTGCTAGGTCCGTGTGATCATGTGGTCGGGAAACTTTGCATGTAGATTTCCCCAACCAGCGGTAGTTGAATAGCATGTTTCCTCACAGCCTATCAGCTGCTACTTGGTTTGCAAGGCTAGATAAAAAAAATGAGCGACCAGGAATGGTGTTGTCTCGATAAAGACCAACACCCCCCATATGAACGACACACAAAATTCAAATCAATATCTGATGAATGAGAGACTAAAGAACGAAAAGTGAAGTCTTATTTCGGGTAACCTCCGTGTTTCCCCAAAAGCGTTCTTCCCCATGGATAGACCACACGGGTGGCTTTAGTAGGTAGAGGGACTTGGTAGCCAGAAAAGCATGCCAAATTAGCCAAAAATGTCGCCTTTTCGAAGAAAGTCGTCAATCTCGTTGGCAAAGTAGTCTTCGTTGGTCTCGATGGCAAAATGTCCAGCGTCAATGAGGTGCAATTCGAGATTCTTCACATCCTTCTTGAACGCCTTAGCCCCGGGTGGAATGAAAATCTCGTCATTCTTACCCCAAATGGCAAGAACAGGCACCTTGGAAGTTCGAAAATATTCCTGGAAAGCAGGATAGAGGTCAATATTCTTGCGGTAATCGTAGAGCAGATCCAGCTGGATGTCTCGGTTCCCCTCGCGCTCCACTAGTGCATGGTCCAGCCAGTAGCTCTCGGGTTGGATCTTCTCCGGATGGGGCGAGCCATTGGTATACTGCCAGGTGATGGAATCAAGCTCAAGGGCGCTCTGGAGTGCGTTGCGATCCTCAGTAGACCCGGTCTCCCAATACTTCCTGATCGGAGCCCAGAACTTGGTTCCAAAACCCTCAACGTAGGCATTTCCGTTCTGACTTATGATGGCCGCAACATTGTCGGGATTGTTTAGAGCATATCGAAGCCCAGTTGGGGCGCCATAGTCGAAGATATAAATTGCGAATTTCTGGAGCAGAAGCGCAGACACGAAAAGCTCTATGGTTGCGGCGATGTCGGCAAAGGTATAGTTGTAGCCGTCAGGGACGGTGGTGAAGCCGTACCCTGGCAGATCAGGCGCAATGACCTTGTAACCACGACCAGCTAGTCGAGGTATAAGGTTCCGAAACTGGTGAGAGGAAGACGGAAATCCGTGGAGCAGTAGGATTGTGCCTTCAGGCTCGTTGGCAGGCGCAGCATAGCGGTAAAATATGTTGGAGCCGCCCGCATCCACCGAGGAGACATATGATGTTATGTTGGACATATTCGTGTCTTGCGTATGCAGGTTGTTTGATTCAATACGGATTTGTTTTGTTGTGAGTGCAGATGTCCGTTCTCGAAAACAAGCGTCCAAGAGCCATGGTTATATAGTTGGAAATTGGTGATAATGGTGCAATCGGTGATATCATTCGGTCATGACAACATGGTCCTGAATTTCCCTGAGCTTCGATCTTTTTCTGGTGTATATTCTTACCATGGGAGATAGTCGTTGCCTTCTACAATGAAGACTGAGTGGCAATGGTAATTAGGCACAACTCAGCATGCAGAGTAACATCGACGTTCCAAGGGCGCGCTTACAAATTCTATGGCGTTTTCTGGGACGAATAGAAATCAATACTTCAGCTTATTTCAACCTGCAGCTATTTCAACGTAGTACCAGCTGACGTCCGGAGCGGGCTGCGGCACTTGCGGCGGTTGCGGCGCTCAAGTCGCCGCACAACGCGGATTGAACACGCACCTATCACGGCCGATGCGGTTCTACTTTGTTGCCTCATGTGCTCAAAAAAAGTCTTCATTGTGTCAGTGAGGGTAGCATCTGTGCATGTCCGCGGAGATGGTAATCCAAGGAAGAAATGCAGAACGCATTTGACAGTTGAATACTAATTAATAATGGCTGATAAACCTAGTAGAATAACGGATGCTACAGCAGCACTGAAAACGCTTCAATAACTACGAGAAAGACGTACAGGCATACACGTGGCCTAATGGAAAAATGGCGATGGCTACCTTGCGCATGATTCACAGCTGCATTGGGTAATGCACCTGTGTGTAGCAACTCAAGCTCATCCTCAATATTTCCCACTAGAGGAACGGGGAGTTTTGATGATCACTCACCACGACCCGGACATTGTTAGATCAAGATGTCTACCCGAGAGACCTGTTCTTGGGGTAAAGTCAACTTTGCGTCTAGGGAAACTCGAACTGGCTAATGCGGATGCCTTTCGCATGGCGAGCTTGAGGTTTGGCGCGGCTTGTGGAAAGATTACCTCCATTCACAGAATTAGGCAAACACAAAGCTATTCAACATTCCTTAGTCCATGGATGTAGAGAATAATGTCGGTAAACAAATAAACTTACCATGATGGAGGCCGCGTCAGCTGACTGGGGAGCCTTGGTCGCTCTCTGCGTTGGGAGCTTAATTCTGGGCTAGACTATGATTTCGAATAACCTTATCTATTGGTAACTATATCACAACAGTCAGCTTGAGAATATTCTCATGAAACCATAGTTGCATTTCATTCTACTTACGGTACATATAGATTATATTGGGCTGGGAGGGATCGAATTGGATGAAGCCAAACCTCGAGAGTGGAAGAAAGCAGTGTCATTTTTGATCAAAGATCTGAGATCTGGTTTCTTTTTTTCATGCTAGGAGTTTAGTCTCTAGTCAATGCACTGGCATATGACACAAGAGAAGGCCTTACCGAGGGTGTCGACCTACGTTGAAAAAAACAAGGTTGGACACGAATCCGTATATAGAAAAACGAAGGGTCTGGCTTGGACGCTCATGAGTATCTCATCATTCACGGCACGCACTCCTACGTCATGAAAGGCAAGCTGTTGACTGATTTTGGTTCAAAAATTTGCAAGCCTGAACGATGAAAGGCAAGCTAATTCATAATAAGCTGTGGGCCAGCAACGCTCGGCCTTCAAGGTCCTTTATCCGAGTCGCTTCGAAACCTGAGAATATGTCGCACTTCTGTTTGAAGAAGGTGAGCCACCGACTACGACCCCACATTGGTCACTGCGTAGGATGACGCCTCTTCCGATTTATCCGATCCTTACCAGCAGCAATGATTCTCTCGAAGATGGTTGCTCGTAGAGCGATAATTGCCTTACGGGAATATTGATAGAAGCAGAATGGGCCGATCGAGAGATTAGTCTTGGCTCAAGAACACCTTTCCCACAACCGCGCGGGCGGGAATGGTCTCCAAGTTTGGACATGGAGAGAATTCCATCGCTAACAAGGCGCGTTATGGAGCCTCATTGTGATTACTTGTGGCTCTAGAGGGGCGTAGTGGGGGGTATCGGAGAACAAATGATCAAATCTCGCTGAATAACGATTGATAAGCCAGGGGCAGAGCCTTGAAACAACAAAGAGTGGGTGTATAAGACCGCGGATATTCAACACCTTTGATCTCTGATATGATATTACATTTGTGTGTAGGAGGAACGGAATCATTGCTATTTCCTTGTAATTCCCTCTCTGGTAGCTGACTAGCAGATATCATAGTAATTCATCAAGAGTGGCATTGAATTTGTAAGTAGAGTCCTCCGACTGGGCCACGTTACTTGAAAGATTTAAACTCAAAATGATGAGGCTCAAGTATGCTCGGATAACCATCGTGATATCCGTCTTGTCAGATCTCTGTGCCCAATAAAGATGAGGATAAGATGAAACAGGGACGGAAAAGTATCAAACGTATTGCGGATTATGCTCACCGGGATCATCGCCTTCAACCTAAGCCTGAGCAGTCAAATATGCAAAGCGCTCGGCATTCGGCAGCTGGAATCCACAGTCCTCCAGACGACTAATGTCTGATTAATCCCATTTACAGGAGCTCCTGTTCCCGATGAGGCAGTTGTGTTACGGAATGAGTATGAGATCTTTTATTTCCTCTTGAAAATGTCGGGACGAGCACGCATTGAAGCCACCCCTGGTCTTTTTGAGTCCTTGAGCCCTGTTTCCAATTGCTGGGGCTAGGCATCACCAAAGCTTATAAGTACTTATAATATTACTTAAAAAAAAGGCTTATAAGTAATAGTAGGTACTTACTTATACTTAGAATAAAATTATAAGTAATTATAAGCTCTTATAATTACTTATAATTTTATACTAAGAATAATAAATACTTATTTTATATTAGTAAGATAATTTTACTATTTATAAAATCTTATTTTATTTTTATTTAAATTATTTATTTTATAAATTAATTAGTATAAATAATAAGAATAAAGAATATTAGTATAGAATTAAATCTTAAAGCTATAAGTTTTAAAATCTTTTATATATACCCCTTCTAATATAATAGTTGGATGACTTATACTGGACAGGGTCTAGGGTAGGTCGGGGTTAAACTAGTCAGAGTATTATTCTGAGTAGTATAATCAGGCTGTTTTAGGCTGTATAATACGAATTACTATTAATATATAAGTATTATAAAGCTAGTAATAATAGATATATAGATAATATTATTAATAACTATCTAAAAGAGTATTCTATCTAATAGAATAAATATATATATATAATAGTTATAGAGTATAAGAAGTATATTACTTCTAGTAATCTATTCTTATCTTATAATAGGAGTATAATACTCCTATTACTCCTATTCTTTAGATAGTAGGGTATATATAACTATATAACCTATTATAGAGGCTTTTATTTATAATATAATACTCCCTTCTTATTAGTTTTATCCCTAAGATCCTATATAATCTTAGTAAGTTCTTCCTCTCTTCTATATATAATAGCTATATTATAATATTTATTATATCTAACTATATTTAAAAACTAGTATATTCTAAGACTTATAAAAGAGTTCTTCTTACTACTATAATCTATATATTCAGTCTTCTAGCTGATATACTATATACTCTGTATTTTAAGGTAAAAAAAGAATATTTTATTCTTTTAAATAGAAAGTTATTCTGATATAATAAGTATATATAAAATAGTTATTATTATAATAGGGTACTAATTATATCTAACTATATATATCTCCTTATACTTTCTTTATTAATATTTCTAATTTCTATTTTCAGTAGAAAAGTTAATAGTATAGTAGAAAAAGCTAGTAGAAGAAGAGTCTGATATAGATAAGAAGATCCTTCTTCTATATTAATAAATAACTTAACTCTAAAGTAATCTTTCTACTACCCTAGGGTATATTTAGTATATTTATAAAGTATATAGGTATATTAAGAGTAAGATATAGTAGGAAATTCAGTATAATCTCTAAGAGCTTAATAAAGAAGAGTAACTATCTTTAAATCAGGCTCTTAACTTCCTTAAGGCTTCTAAGCAGTATATCTTAGAGGAAGTCTAGTTCTTAGGGGTTATCTCTAAGATAGATTTAAATCTATTAGATTTTAAAGAGGATTTTTCTAATTTAGTTTCTCTTTTCCCTTCTAGTAGAACTAATAAATTAAGTATTAGTACTTCTTTAGATATTTAATAGGTTCCTATATATTATTATTATTAGTATATCCCTTCTATTTAACCAGATAAAATATTTATTTATTCCTAACTTCTTTTTTTAGGATTTTTTCTAATTTAAATTTTTTCTTATAGATCTTAATTAGATAATCTTAGTTTAAAGTACTTTCTAATACTTTTTTAAGTAATAAGATATAAAAAACTAGATAGATATATATTATATCCAGTAGTAATAGTTTATAGTTAGTATCTGATTTTTTCTTAAGAATCTTAAATAGTCTAAGTTTTTTATAGTTTAATTTATTACTTAGTTTTATTATTATAATATTTTTATAAAGTAAGTAGATCTTATCTCCCTCCTCTAGAATTAGTTCTTCTAATCTATTTTTATTATAATATTTTTTTATTCTTTATTAGATAAATTTAAGTTCTATTTTTATTTCTATATATAATAAATATAATATTTCTTTTATAAGTATAGCAGCTAGTATATCTAGTTTATTAAGTTCTAGTTAATTCTGGAATTATAGTTTATAACTATAATTTATATATATAGGTATAAACTAAGTAGATTCTTATACTGAACTATTATATATAATCTATACTATAGGTAATAGTTATATCTAGTTATTTTATTTATAGTTAATATATACTTATAGATATTATTCTAGAGTTTAATTTAATTATTCTATTTAACTATTACTTTATAGATAGTAAGCTATTAAGAGCTTATACTTAGTATCTATTTATACTATAAGTAATTATTAAAACTTAGAGATAAATATTATTCCTCTATCTAATATAATCTTATTAGGTAATCTATA